ATAGATGACCAAGGCAATAGGTCGCAAACATAGATGACCAAGGCAATAGGTCGCAAACATAGATGACCAAGGCAATAGGTCGCAAACATAGATGACCAAGGCAATAGGTCGCAAACATAGATGACCAAGGCAATAGGTCGCAAACATAGATGACCAAGGCAATAGGTCGCAAACATAGATGACCAAGGCAATAGGTCGCAAACATAGATGACCAAGGCAATAGGTCGCAAACATAGATGACCAAGGCAATAGGTCGCAAACATAGATGACCAAGGCAATAGGTCGCAAACATAGATGACCAAGGCAATAGGTCGCAAACACAGATGACCAAGGCAATAGGTCGCAAACATAGATGACCAAGGCAATAGGTCGCAAACACAGATGACCAAGGCAATAGGTCGCAAACATAGATGACCAAGGCAATAGGTCGCAAACATAGATGAACAAGGCAATTTTTGATTGAAGTAACGGCCTTCACTTGAGATGGATGTTGTTTACAGTGAGGGAGAGTAGCCCATTTGGTCAGCCCCTCTCTCCGTCTTTTACGTCCTTAACTGTCTGGTCCATTGCCAAGACTTAGTCGAGACGACTTCAGATAGACGAAGTTGCAGCAGATGAGCAGCAGTTGAAGGATGTTGACTGTAAAGACATTGTGGAGTCGAGTCAAAATTATTAGAGAACACAAGACTCGAAATCTTGTGTACTGTGAGACTTGAACGATATGTTGTAATCTACTTCTAATAAAGTAACAAAAAAACAAATGAACTATTTTATTTTATTTTATATTTTAAGATTACTTCTGGAGATAATAGATCGATGTGTGACCAGGCTGTGAACAAACAAGAAGCCCAAACAGATAACTTTTTTTTTTTGGGTGTGGGGGGGGGGGGTGAATATATTGGCGAAAAAAATATTGGTCTGCCCGGGACGGGAATAACCTTAGCTACACGCATGAGGTCAAAGGTTGTTTTTATTTTTAAAAAAAAAATGGTGGGTTTGGTTTTGAGGCATATTTTTATTAATAATTTGATTCACTTTTTATGTTCAAGCAGTAAAGTAATTTATAAAGTTTCATTGTGTTATAACGGCATGGCGTAAATTCTGCTGTAACTCAGGGCGGATCGGTTTTCTTTCTCCTGGTCCATTCACACTCTTTTCCAAACTACATACTGAGATTAAAATGCTAACAGTTAAAGTTAAGCTACACATTATTATGTGATCGCTGTATAGTGAGCTAAACATGGTTAGCACTTGAAAGAATTACAATTCTCAGAAGCTTATACGTGTCAGAAAGATGAAATCCACATTAAAAGATATTTAAACAACTCAACCAATGCTTTGGTAGGCTAGCCGAAAAACCCGTGCTCCATCATGGGGGTTAGCAGTGTTTCTTTCAGACATTTTGTTCAACGTGGGGTCGGGGGTAGTGCACTACCGCAGAGACAGCTGAAAGAAACGCTGGTGGTGAGGATGTCATTGAACATATTCAGGGAAGTTATAAAGCCACTCGGAACCAGGAAATACGTGAGTGTCTCACCCCAAAAAGAAATTAATTGGTGTGGCCATCTGACCAGAGTGCCTGTCAACAAACCTGCATTGCAAAGGCATCCGGGTTGTTCAGGGCCACAACGTCGGTGGATTGACTATTTTAGGGACAACCTAAAAATCCACATTATGACCCTCAGGCAGGTCTCATAACTTAAAGCAATCTGTCAGCTATACCTCAACGACGCCTGCTCTGTAATGTGGACAGAATAAGAAGTATAATGGCTTGCCACGTGTTTACTTTCATGGAGATAGTGGCTAACAAAAGGATACTGTATATATAATTTTTTAAAATAAAGATATTTAAAAAAAAAATATGCCATTCAAATAGTTGGAGTTTGTTTAATTATTCAGCAGTCTCTCCTTTATGAAGTTTAGAAACATTCGTTCAAGTAACTCAGTTCCGGTATTTTAAAGAGACCCAATACGTGCAGCTAGTCAACGTCTTGCGCACCTAGTGTGCACTTTCATAACTCAACCACACGCACACCCATAATTTGAGTTCATATATAATCAATAGATAAAGGAAATCCATCAAAGATAATAATGACGAGGGAGTATGGCAATGATCACAAAGAAGTCGATGCCACGAATATACCTTTGACTAAGATCAAGGAGCTAATCACCGTGATCGTAGTGATACATTCAGTGATAGTAATCCTAAGAGGCGTACCCTCTGTAGTAAGGTGGCGGGAAAGTGAATTTTTTGAAATGATAACTATACCTTATTACGGTTTCAAAGGTCGGTATGTCGATAAGAGAGACAGAGATAGACAGACAAATAGATAGTTAGATATATATATATATGTATAGATAGGTATATAGATAGATAGATAGATAGATAGATAGATGGATAGATCGATATATAGATAGATAGATAGATAGATAGATAGATAGATAGATAGATAGATAGATAGATAGATAGATAGATATATAGATAGATAGATAGATAGATAGATAGATAGATAGATAGATAGATAGATAGATAGATAGATAGATAGATAGATAGATAGATAGATAGATAGATAGATAGATAGATAGATAGATAGATAGATAGATAGATAGATAGATAGATAGATAGTCAGACCAACAGACAGACAGACGGATAGGAAGACAGACTACATATAGACAGATAGACATATCGAAAGAAAGACAGAATGACAGACAGACAGAAGACAGATCGACAGACAGACAAATTGAAAGGCAAACAGATAGATGACGAAAATATAGATAGATATATGGATAGATAGATAGATAGCGATAAAAAAATCGACCAATAGATAGATAGGTAGAAAGATAGATGGTTGGATAGATAAATAGAGAGATAGGTAGATATACTGATAGATAAATGGATGGATGGATAGATAGATAGGTAGATAGATAGATAGATAGATAGATAGATAGATAGATAGATACTAAGATAGAAAGATAGACAGATACTAAGATAGATAGAAAGATAGATAGATAGATACTAAGATAGAAAGATAGATAGATAGATACTAAGATGGAAAGATAGATATATTAGATACATAGTTAAATACATAGATAAATAGAGAGGGAAATAGGGAGAGAGGGGGGAGAAGGGGAAATAGAGCTAGAGAGAGAGAGAGCAAGAGGGAGACAGAGAGATAGAGCTATATGAAAAATAACTATTTTAGAGAGTACGGTTGTTGTTATTGGGAAATTCCTACTGTCAATAGATAAAAGGCTGAAGTCTCTTCCTGATGAAAAGCATCTGATCAATTCTAGGAAATCCCGTTCTTACTGCACGGCGATTGGGGCTGTGTTGTGATTACGTTTAGTAGACCAGAAGCCATCAACACGGTAAACAATTGAACAGCCTGCGGTATAGAAGTGTCATTTCAATGTTGCGTATCCACCGTATAGCATCTGTTTGATCCAGTTTAACATAGTGGGTGAGTTAACAGCTTTCAATCCAGTTTAACATAGTGGGTGAGTTAAAAGCTTTCAATCCAGTTTAACATAGTGGGTGAGTTAAAAGCTTTCAATCTTATCACATTGTTGTTTCTATCTTGTGTGTCACACGTTTAGTTTCCATAACGGGTGTCACACGTTTAGTTTCCATAACGGGTGTCACCCGTTTAGTTTCTATAACGGGTGTCACACGTTTAGTTTCCATAGTGTGTGTCACATCATTAGGCTGGACTATCATTTACTAACAGAAAAATGAGACTTTTTCAATTTCCTGATACAAATTTTAAAACATTATGCCATTTTCTACAAAGGTTTAAACAATTAATACAGGCTCATTGAAGGAAGACAATATGATTTGAGTGATGATTACCATACGACCTTAGGGTCGTTCGCAAATTACGTCACGCCCCGGGGGAGTGGGGATTGAGAATTTGTGACATTTTGTGTCATTTTGTGACATTTTGTGAATTTTGTGACATTTTGTGACCTTTTGTGACATTTTGTGAAATTTTGTGAAATTTTGTGACATTTTGTGAAATTTTGTGACACTTTGTGATACTTTGTGACATTTTGAAAAATCTTTATTCAATTAATTTTAAAAACATTAATCTGAAGTCGAAATTGCTTCAGGTATTATAGGTAAGGTGAACCCCAGACGCGCATACCTTTTGCGCAAAAATTGCTGTGGCCATTTTACATTCGGCTCGGGGATGACTTCGTTGTTTCGCGTCACAGATTTCTTATAATACTACATCTTAGTGCAATAACAGCATGTGAAAATGTTAAAGAATAAAATAAAATCTTACTTTAGTTATGAAAATGTTACGTAGATTTTGATTTTTTTTTTTTAGGTGTGATGTGACACTAAGGGGGAGGGGGGATACAAATTCGTGACACTTTGTGACAGGGGAGAGGGGGGGGTGCTAAAAAGCTCATTTTTTTGCGTGACGTAATTTGCGAATGACACCTTATAACAGATTAAAATTTGACTAATCTAACGATGAAAATATGGCTAACTATATTATAAGATGAAAAAAAAGGCTTTTCATAATGGAACATTTTAGTTGTCAAGAAATCTCCCCAATATTCATCAAAGCTTACTAGTCTCTGTATGTTTACAAGTTCACCTTCCTAAAACTCCCAATCTACGCCATCTTAAAAACGTATAAACGAATGTTATTATTTTTATTATCAATAAATGATTTGTATACATTTTAAACATGACATGTAAATAGTTGTATTATTTATATTATGAGTAACGTAGAACTGTATTCACAAAGTTTGATGCTGGCTAAATAAAATGGTGACGATGTTATGAAAAAAAAAGTATTTCTTTAAAAAAGGACTTTGGTTTATTCTTAGCTGGTAAATAATTGTGTTGTCTGTTATTCTTGTCTACAGTAACTTACTTTCATTATTTTAACTTTAAAATTTAAAAACAAAGTCTTAGAGTTTAGTTTTAGTACTATTTCAAATTTAAGGACCGTATTGATATTTTCGTGGTTGTCCTGTATATTTCAGGGGAAAATGACTAAGCAGACGACACTACTTCTGGTTGGACGATCCGGCTCTGGGAAAAGTTGCGTTGGAAACTCTATACTTGGAAGACAGGAGGCTTTCAAAGCAAGTGGAATGAGACAGGAGAAAATGTTATCAAATGATATCGATTCTAATGATGAGTTTTGCGTTGTGGACTGCTCGGGTGTTGGAGACACTGAATCTGATATGGTGGGCGACGTGAAAGATGTGATGCGCAACGCCAGAAAGGCGTTGAACAAAATCAAGGGAGTGACGATGTCTGAATATCATGAGTTTGAACTTGTTTATGAACCTGCGAGTACGGAGTTGCCTAACATCGAGAATGTCCCAGAATATTTTGAAGAAACTCCATACTCCATTAATTCCCGAGGTATTGGCAATTCGTTTACAAACGAGAATCAGCAAGAAGACTCACAAGGAACGGAGAGTAAATCGATTTCTGATGACATAGGTGGATTCGATGCCCTGATATTTGTCATGAAATATGGCGTCCGGTTCACCAAACAAGAGAAAGACGCCGTACAAATGGTTAAGTCGATCTTTGGAGAAAATGTGTTCAGAGACTGGGGGATTTTAGTTTTCTCTTACGGTGACAACTTTGATCTGGATACGGAAGATGATGGAATGACGTTTGAAGATTGGTGCCGGGAACAAACAGGTCATATAAAATTACTCTTTGAAGAGGTTAACTATAGATGTGTCATCTTTGATAATAAATCCACTAAGAAAGAAAAAGAGCTTACAAATCTAAAAGACAACATCGACAAAATCACAAAAAGCCCTTACACTTTAACGGAATTCAAAAAAGGAAAGAGTGGACGAGTTAAACTACAGTTGAATTATCCAAACGGAGGACTCCAAGCAGAAACAGACCGTCTTTTCACCAAAGCCGCTCAGTTAATGGATCAACCGCTATCCAATCGTAAAAAATGTCAAAATGTGCTGGACGAGTTGTCGCATCATGTGCACAAATTAATCGATCTGGACGAAGGTACTGGTGTTCTTCAACCCCTTTCTGATCACGTGCTTGATCAGATAGCAACGCTAGAGAGGAAGATGAAGCAATTTGAAAGTAGAGGAGAGGGAGGAACATTTTACGAGGCCGCCCGTCAATTCTTTTTGAGGTTGTGGCAAACTTTAGGGAGTATACGTTCCGCTATAGCAAGTGGCTTCGCTAGCATTCGTACCGCCCGTAGCCCGACGAGAAACACTGACTACACAATGATTTGTCCCGAGACCGTTGGCGTGTCGGTGGAGTAAATTGGGGGCTATGGACCAGAAGGGTCATATGTAAGACAATGTAATTTTTTTGTTAAGATTCTCCCCCCCCCATCACGTACACATTATTTTTTTTTTAATGAAATAGCAAAACGAGGTATGTGGAAGCTTGAAATAAGATGACAGGACAAAAAAAACAAGGACTTTCGGCTTAAAGCCTTCCTCAGCCAACAGTAGAAATGAAAATATAACAAAGAAAAGAGCACAGTAGACAACTCAAGCAGTATCCATTCGTGTCGCCGGAAGTGGGAACACAGGAAGCGAGAAAATATAAATATTGACACTGTGAAAAATGAAGTCAACAATAATATTTTTTTAACTTGGTATAGAAATTTCAAAATAAGATTCATAGTCAAAAGCGAAAATTACCATCCTTGCCATCCACAAGTTTACAGACAATCTGAACACATTGGACGTAAATGATTTGTGGTCAAAGCGAGTTCAAACTTAAGGATGTCCGTACAATCGAGAAAGTGTTTATTGTTATTATTATTTTTTTAATGGAAACAAAATGGAAAATCTCGTTGTCTGTCATCTCTTTACTTGTTTACTCTACAACTGAGATTTATTTTTTTTAAAACGTGGATGTCATTATAACATTATTATTATTATTGTTACCGTGCTATTCTATAGCGTGGTACCTATGCTTAGGGCTGGCCTCACCGCGCCTTACATTAAACTATTTCCAATGATAAGCATATCAGTAAAACAGTTACATAAATGTATTTAATTTAAAAAAGAAACATATTTACATGTCAAGCCATGGGAGAGAATTCCGTTGTTGTTTTTTTTTGTGTGACGCTGAAGGAGAAAGATCGTTCACCGTATCTTTCAGTGCGTGTCCTGGGAAAAGTAAAAATACGCGTGTTTGGAGATAAGCAAATTTGTCGAAGGGGTGAAGAGACGCAAAGACGTTCAGTTAGATAGCGGAGCACTCTAGCGAAATGCTGTAAATTAACCTTATAAAGATCATTAGATGTGCAGTCATAAATATGTGACATAACCAGATGCTGAAATTAAAAAAAACAACAACATTAGCTTCAAAGCTTCAATTATGTTAAATTTAAATGTGTCTGAAAATAAGAGACTGCTCGGTCTAACCTAATTTTTTAAAAAAAAAGGGATAACCGATTACACTTACATTTTCCTCGCATGTAACCAATCCACGGTAACGGATAATGATTTTGATCAAGTGATTGAAAGGCTTGCTGCTTTGAAGACCAGGAAAGAAGAAATTTCAAACAATTCAATTGAATGTTAAAAAAAAAAACGATACTTAATGCTGTTAAAGTTCTTAAATACATTTACCTCACGACCTTCAAGTAATTTGTTTATAGTGGAGTTGCACTGTTTTCAAACTTTTCAATAAACGGAAAATTATTTTAAAACGTTTTCTTTTCATTTCAGTTTAAAGGCCTTTAACGAATGTTAAATACACTAGGGATTAACCGGATCCAGTTTATCTTACACCGATTCCAGTTATTTTGAGAAAATATACCCAGTGGGTGCAAGTGTTACAACAAAAGTAAACTTATCATTTTCTGTAATATATGCCGGCCTGTAAACAATGACCCTACAGACAGTCCTCCACCATACCCACCGGCCTTTGAACAAAAGTCCTAAAGACAGTTCTACACCAGACCTGTGGCTTTTTATTGATTAATATATTAGTTGCCTCCCCCTAAAGCAAAATAAATCAACCTGAACTGAGTTCAGACGTCACGCATGAAAGCTCGCTGAGTGACAGTATTTTGCTCGTACAGCATTATTGCCTCTTCTCTTGCAGTGTTAGAATTCGACCAAACTGGAAGTGACCTATGGATTGCATATTGTTGGTAATTTTCAAAAACAGTGCTAAAAATACGCATGCTTCAGTTCCGGATGTATCTGCAAGTGTTGAACGACTGATAACTTGTATGTCGGACAGATAAGGAGCCATGGAGTAAGGTTAAATGTAATGTCATAAACGTGAGGTTATACTTAAATATCATGGTAATTTGGGTATTAAGCAATTGTTACTAAACAATATTAAATAAAATTGTACAACGATACCAAAACATGTGCAATCCAACATTGATAATCATCAAAGGGACAGGGTCTACCTAAGATATCACACAGTTGTAAAATATTTTTGACAGGGTCTGCCTAACATTTCATACGGCTGTACCAATTGTTTGACAGGGTCTACCTAACATTTCATACGGCTGTACCAATTGTTTGACATGGTCTATTTCATATTTCATACAGCTGTACCAATTGTTTGACAGGGTCTACCTAACATTTCATACGGCTGTACCAATTGTTTGACAGGGTCTACCTAAGATATCACACAGTTGTAAAATATTTTTGACAGGGTCTGCCTAACATTTCATACAGCTGTACCAATTGTTTGACAGGGTCTACCTAACATTTCATACAGCTGTACCAATTGTTTGACATGGTCTATTTCATATTTCATACAGCTGTACCAATTGTTTGACAGGGTCTACCTAACATTTCATACGGCTGTACCAATTGTTTGACAGGGTCTATTTCATATTTCATACAGCTGTACCAATTGTTTGACAGGGTCTACCTCATATTTCATGCAGCTGTACCAATTGTTTGACAGGGTCTATTTAACATATTTATACATCTTTAACATATTTTTGACAGGTTCTACCGAACATTTCGTACATTACTGGGTTTTGATGTTAATATATAATGACATGTGTACTCTTTAGGTATATATTTTATATTTGTATATTTCTACTTGAATTTGTAATACAAAAGTATTTGACAAGTTATTCATTATTTCATTTAAATCTAGTTGAGTAAAGTGTTATATCTCAACAAATTACCAGAATATTTTTTGTTTACTTCCTTTTATTTTTTTAATAACTGTATTTTTTGTTTTGATGAGATTTGAAAAAGAATGGCAACAATGGAAGTTTTATAAAAAAAATTAAATGCATTCAATATCCTAAAATAATATTAAGGGATATTTAAAAAAAAAAAATGAATGCAAACGATATGTATTGTAAACTTCAAATTTCCATTAAGGACAATTATTAAATAAACTAAATATGGGTAGTCAGACGAAATGATCAACAAACGATTTTATGAAAACCGAAAAAAATTTGGATATCTGATAAGAACTATTTAAATGGTCATCTGGGAGATCGAACAAAAATAAAGATATAAAACTGTTTGAAATGTCACTTAATTTCGGTCAAACGGGGGACAGCTCTTTGCTAGATTGCGACCCCCCCCCCAAAAAAAAAACAACAACAAAAAAACAGAAAAACAAAATAAATCTTTTTTTTTTTAAATGGCTTCTCGGGTGGCTGTTAATTTGTTGAAAATCTTACAGATAAAAAAAATGCAAAGCGACAAGGTCATGGTGTGAAAGTCTTGCTGATTTTCTTTTAAAAGTAGCCCAAATGGCATGTACTGATTTATAACATTACCACTCATTTAGATACAATTTTATAGTAAATAAGCCAGAAAGAATATTAAGAAGTTATTGGTTCATACACAATGTGTCATGTGATATAAATGTGTTGGATGCGGTTGTAGATCGCGTGGAGGACGGCGCACCAATGAACTTGACGTGCAACTCTTGGCGACGGTGTGCACGAGTTAAGCGCTGACACAGGGTTTTCACGACTTGACTATTAACAATGCTTCAGTGTCCTTGACAGAATGGCTTACATTGCGCAGCGCCGACACGTGACTGAGTTGTCCAGACGTGCAGCGAGTTTTCCCGGAAAATCCCGCCATATATATATATATATATATTATTAATGCCCCAGGTATGGACACGTTTTTTCCCCTCAAACTAAAGTTGTAACTTGCTTCAACGGTTCACTTCTGGTTTACCTTCCGCTGCAATGAAGGTGTGTTGAACATTTTCTTGAATAAGGGACTAACAACCTTCGTGTGTCAACATGTGTTGAATATGTAAGTATTGAACTAGGAGACATTTGTTAATAAAAGAACGTGGCGTTTAGCGAGTATTAGAGTATTTAAACACAATCTTGTTATGTCACAGGTAAAGACACCTAATATTTAAACACAATCTTGTTATGTCATAGGTAAAGAGCACCTAATATTTAAACACAATCCTGTTATGAGTATTGTTATATCAGGCCGTATTTGAAAGGCGCAAAGGAAACATAGATGCGCCTGTTGGTGCGTCAAAGGCGCAAAGCTAAGTAAGAATTAATTCAGACGCAAAGACATGTAATAATTAATAAAGTGTCGATAATCACTTAATTACTTTTTAATTTTATTTTAATTAAATCATTGGACTTTTTATTTAGTGGTCTTGTTGTTAAATGACCATTTTAATTGCGTAATTAGTTACTAGTAAATGCCCGTCCTTATTGTTGTAAGATGGTTTTCATTATTTAATTTTGTAATGAATCATCTTGTGGTATTTAATTTTTTTATTTAGTAGTTCTCAACTGATGATGGTAATGTGTATTCTTGTGTTGTATGAAAATTTTTATTTATATGGAATGTCCACGATCAATTTATTGATCATTCTGGATACCAAGGAGTGGTTACAAAAGAATTAGCGAAATTCTTTTTTCCTGACGAAGGCTTTCTGCCAACACCTTCGTTTTATTTTTATTGCGTTCCTTTTTTTCAGGTTTTCCCATACTTTGTTTTACTGATTTCCTCTTTTGCTAAACTGATTGCAGTCTCCCCCCTTTACTACCCTTCCTCTTTCCAGTAGCATCTGGAGGCTGAAGCTGGAACGGTTGCCTGCTGTTATCCTTTGCTTCACCTCCGACATTATTTCATTGTGCTCGAATTAAGTTGCCCCTAGATATTTGAAAACAGCAACTCTCTCAAAGGTGTCGTTGTTTATACTGAAGTTGTCATCTGCGTGGCTGTTTCGTGACACTGTCATTATACATTTGTGGTCATTTCTAGAAATGGGAAATGAAAATATAAAACAAAAGAGACGAGCTGACTAATAATTTCATTTTTTTTACATTTCAGCTAGTGTTACAACATACTGCGAAATTGTATTCAGTCGACGGCCCCCATACCACATATTTCATCTTTGAAAGTAAGTGAATTTAAATACACTGGTATTCCACACTATCACGTAAACTGAGTTACAACACAGTCCCAGAATGAGTCCTGAAATTTATTATATTAGTTTGCACATGAAGTTATATTTTTACAACACGCGATAAGATCTTACAAAATATTCATTTACAAAACAATTAAAAAAGTAACTAAAAGTAATTCAACACCACATAGCTGCTACACCACATAGCTGCTACACCACATAGCTGCTACACCACATAGCTGCTACACCACATAGCTGCTACACCACATAGCTGCTACACCAAATAGCTGCTACACCACATAGCTGCTACACCACATAGCTGCTACACCACATAGCTGCTACCCTGTGAGATTGAAAAAAAAAAAATTTGATAGTATTGGTTAAAAACATGAGCCATCTTTCGTAATGAAAATTGGAAGATTCCGCTTTAAAAACAACCTCGATAAACACTTCAATTATCGTGTTAAATGATTTGCCTCACAGCATACGAAGAAACGTTGGTTTTGCATATTTAAACAATTGTCTCGTTGGTTTTCGTTGACTAGGTCTACTTTTTAAGTAGTCAAATAAGAAAACTTTAAAAAATATTTAGGCTCTTTAAAACATATTCCATGAAAAGGAAGAAAATTTAATCCCAATGACGAAATGTAACGTGTAGGTCTCGCCGAATGATGTTATAATTAGACATAGACGGTTATGGCTTGTTTATTATCATGGCGCTTCTTAAATTATAACTGTTCCTAAATATAATTAACTTTTTTCAATTTAAAGAAAGTGTATATATATTTATATACATTTATATATATATATATATATAGATAAATAGATATATAGATATATTATGGATAAAGGTCCAGTTTACATGTTAATAAAGTAAGATATGATAAAATATGTTTATTGATAAAAATAAATGGGAAATGTTTTTTTTTTTTGGTTTTTTTTTTTTTGGTTTCCATTGTAAATATTAATTTTAAGAACATAAATATTTACAAAAATTTAATCAGACCATGAACTACAATTATTACAACTTAAACATAGGACATATAAAATATTTCTCCAGCGTATAGATATGATAAAATATGTTTATTGATAAAAATAAATGGGAAATGTTTTTTTTTTTGGTTTTTTTTTTTTTGGATTCCATTGTACATATTAATTTTAAGCACATAAATATTTACAAAAATTTAATCAGACCATGTACTACAATTATTACAACTTAAACATAGGACATATAAAGTATTTCTCCAGCGTAGAGCTCAGACATAAAAGAAGCCCCATTAGTGAAAATAATGACTTAATTAGTGATCACATTGTGACACTTTTAACAAAGATTATTTGAATTTTTACAACAGAATGACGCCGACGCTACTGCTTGTTGGCCGATCTGGTAACGGGAAAAGCTCTGTTGCAAATTCAATTCTCGGACATAAACTTGGGGAACAACTTCCAAGGGAAAGTTTTGAGGTTGCAACAAGGAAGAAGCTTGGGGCACAGATTGGGGCAAAACTTGGGGCAAAACTTGGAGAGCAACTTATAGAAAAATTTGATAAACGTATTAAGGTTGAGGACGACGTAGAACTTTTTCGGAACTTTGTCACAGACTTTTTTTTTTTGGTGGACCAAAATTTTAAAACTGAAAAATTGGAGAATGACATGAGGGAAAACCAAGAATTTGTTGTAATTGACTGCACAGGTCTCGGTGACACAGGATCTGACATGGCGGGTGACATTAAAGATGTGCTGCGGTCTGCTTTGGATGCAGTGAAAATGTGCGGAACAGAGTCAGATGTCAAGACGTTTCAAAGTGATGTGCCATCTAAAAATGTTTCTGCAGTAGTAAAAAACAGCTATAACAAATTTGATACAGACGGAACGAATGATGATGACTCCACTCAGGAAAATATTTTAACGGTTACAAATAATGATGACCCAAGTAACAAAAATACTTTAGCAGGAACACTTGTAGTCAGACAATCAAATGAAAAATACCGTGGATTTGATGCTCTGATATTCGTCATGAAATACGGCGTCCGTTATACCAAACAAGAGAAGGACTCGGTCAAAATGATCAAGTTTATATTTGGAGAAAATGTGTTTCAAAAATGGGGCATCCTAGTGTTTACATATGGTGACAACTTTTACAGTGATTCTCAAATAACGTTTGAAGATTGGTGCAGGGAACAAACAGGTGATATAAAAAATCTTTTCGAAGAAGTCCAACACAGGTGTGTCATCTTTGATAATAAAACGGTGAGTTTAGAATTACAAAATTCCCAGCGATCGACCTTCTCGAGTTTGATAGATAAAGTGAACGAAGGAAACGTAGGAACGTATCAAATAGATGGGACTGCAGGGCCATTAAAAATACTAGATAAATATTACACAATTTCGGAACGGAACCCAGGACACCCCCATGAAGAACTGATTGAACTTGAAAGGATGATAAATGAAGAACTGGCAATGTTCTCCCCAAGCAAACCAGACGAATACAAAAAACTTTTGGAATTGGGACTTAACGATATAAGAAAACACCAAATGGCGAGAGTGCCACCAAAAAAAGCTTTATGTATTTTACTTTAAGTTTTTTGGTTAAACTTAATTCAATTAACGGGGCAGTATTGTGTAAATAATATAGGCTTACTTCTATATACACAATTTTTGTCAATATCTATTTACATAATATGTGTTTATCTTTATATTAAATTAAAATCGTACAAGTCATTATAAACTACTTGAAAACGAAATATATTGCTTTTTTTTTCTATTCCATCATTATTATTTCAAAGGTACTCTTGTCACTTTCTTTAATATTTGTTTGTGCTTAATGATAGTTAAAAAAAAGTTTGCATTTTTTCTGAATATTGCACAAGTAGTTTTCCTATGTTTTATCTTTTGTGTAAAGCATTTTTAGTTTTTGGAAATCACATAAATGTGTGTAAAGGGCATTTGGTGTATGCAGGTGCTGACCGTTTCAAATAAAATTAAAGGATGGAATAATAATTTTTATGATTGAATTTGTTATTGAAACCTGCGAAGGATATTTGTTTGATTGCTTGATCTCATATTTGAAATGTCAATATTTCCTAAACGAAAAATAAATGTCGATCATATACAATGATGGGGAAAGAAGGAGTAAAATAATCCGTATGATTCCGACAAAATCGGATGGGTTGGCAGGTCTGCCAATTGCTGTTAGAACGGTGGGATCTGTGTGTTTATCAATAATGAGAATCTATTTATAATTCAAAGTGATGTGCCATCTAAACATATTGCTTCAGTAGTAAAAAAAACAACTATAACAAATTTGCTACAGACGGAACCACATCTATTTCGCAAATACCTTCTGGGATGATTGTCTACCTTATTTTCCAGTTAATGCATATTGGCTGTGTTGAAATGGATAGAAAGACTTTGACATTGTATGCTTGTAATTAGTTTTTGTAGTGTTGCGTTTGTTTTAAATGTGGTAAATTATAGATTTTTTTGGTTGACTTTGTACGTGTTTTTGAAATGAACTTTATTATTATTATTATTATAATGTTGATGCAGAAATATGTGTCTAAACTTAGTAGAGCATTTTTTTCGATCAATCTTAAATTTGACATCATTGAGCCTCAATAAAATGATGTGTTGAAATTTAAAACATGCCTAAGGAAGTAGTGTATTGGAGCAGCTTCAGATTCCCTAGATACTAATACTCACCTGTGGCATCTTTGGGGTTGTTTATATGTAATATTATTTAAATGGTTTGTATGTATTAGGTGGTGCTCATTTTGAGAGCTTGCTCCAAGCAACATTCATTTAAAGTACGCCACTTCTTGTACTATATTGGATTGGTGCCTTTATTCGGACGACGAATTGTTGAACACAGTTTCTTACGAAAGGCGCATTTCTAAATGCTTTATATTAATTAACCTTTTGATTTTGGCTGGCAAAATCTTCGGACGGCTAATTGAACCACTTCCCGTCAACAGACTGAGCTGAAACTTGATATTTAGACGCGTTGCGAGGTGACAAGACATTCTTTCAAACTAGACTATATGACTCGATGTAATGGGGATAATAATGGTAGGCACTTTTCAATAATTTTTACCTGATATTGCCAAAACTGATTACAATTTCTTATTTTTAAAGGAAGTCATTACATAACATTTAAATTTCTGTTTCTAACATCATTAAGTTTTGAGAAGTCATTTTCTGATCTACTATACGCGTACCGAACTCATTTTCGCGCCCCTTAATTACATTTTTTTTTCCATCTCTTAACATGACCTTAAATTACCAAATCTAAATTATCATTAATCAAATCACTATTGTCACTAAATGAGTTTATTGTCGGCTGATTTCTGCACTAGAGAAATACTTTAGATGTCCTGTGTTTTTAAACTATTAAATATTCGGTCCACCTTAACCCTTTTCATGCCATTTAACTACGTTTTTTTTTCTCTTTTAAAAGTTTTGGAAATATCATCTGAAATTTAAAACAAAAATTCCATATTTTTTAACAATATTTTATAAAAATGGAATTGGAGATACTGAAATCTTCATTAAAGATGTCCCCAAACTTTTGCTATTGTTTTCTGCTATGTTATCGGAAAATCGTAAAACAAAGAATGATTTAAAAGTAAGAAATAAATGAAGGGACTGCTTTCAAGCTATGTAAATGAATGAAATAGTGAAACGAGGTATGTGGAAGCTTGAAATAAGGTAACAGGACAAAAAAACAAGGACGTTTCGGCATAAAGCCTTCCTCAGCCAACAATAGAAATGAAAATATAACAAAGAAAAAGAACATATTTTCATTTCTATTGTTGGCTGAGGAAGGCTTCATGCCGAAACGTGCTTGTTTTTTGTCCTGTTACCTTATTTCAAGCTTCCACATACCTCGTTTCACTATTTCATTCATTTAAAAGTAAGAAGACTGTTATTTATTTATCTCATAATATACACCGCCCCCCCCCCAAAAAAAACCTAACCCATTCTAATTTTTCTAAATTATATTTTAACAGGTGTACAATGTATGCGTTTTGGTACTCATGGGTACACATAATATGTAAATGTACCCAAGTTTTGTTAACGTCATTGATTTTCTTAATTGTTGAACACGTTCATTTGTAAAAAGAGAATATGATATCCATTTTTCAAAACTTTAATATTATTGGATATATTGTCATCCACGTAAAGATGTAAAAACCCTATTTCCTACCCCCGATATATGTGAACCTAAGAAGGTTTATTTTTTTATCAAATTCATTCCTTTATTCTGAGGCGTATCTTGTGCTGCCAAGGGAAGAAAGGAAAGTATAGTATGCTCCCCCCCCCCCCACACTCCTTTAAGATTTTAGTAAACATGATTAAAATCATCCAATGGATTGTTCCTCCCGATGGAAACACACATTGTTTTCTTTTCATATGGATTGTTCATATGTGGATGCGTGATAAGTGCATTAGTGAATACTATTTGGCGCATGGAGTTTCGCTGCACTGATTGTCTAATACGGAATTTTTAAAATTAAAAGTATATTTGTAGGGTAGGTTTTATAACTTTATAAATATAATAAAATATATCTTTGGAATGAAGAACATGTTTGAACGTATTAAATGTTAAAAATACAAAGCCACATTTTGTATGTGTCTTGTAATTACAATTTTACAAAGCAAACAATGAAAAAATTTTTTTTTACTTTTAAGAAGGGGAAAATACACTACTACTTTTATCACCCGTGGTTATTAAATCAAAGAAACTTAGAGCTTTGGCTAAAGCAGGCAATTCGTACTGTGACGTTATTTGCTTGTTTATTTAGAACAAATTAATTTTAATTTTATTTCTCAATATCACTTTAGCACTAAACACAAACTAAAAATCAGATGTTTGCGGATTTTCGATAAATGAAATTACGAAAGTTGCGATGAATTTTTCTATCATATTTTTTATTAATTCTTTTTTTTTAATGGCTTTCAAACTCGGATGAAAAAACTTAAATTAGTTCTTTCATCGTTATTTTATATTTATTTATAAGAACACTTTAACATTTACTATAATAAAAGCGGATATATTTTATTTTTTGCGCATCTAAATTTATTCGATTTCCGTAAAATATTAGAATATAACTATCATTGTTTTTAAGAATCCGAACGTAGTTAAATCGATTCGTTTCTTTGGCGTTATGGTCAGAATAGCTGATTCCTGGCCGCTGCTTCGTCCGAAAGACATATGATGCGCCCTTAGTTATGTCACAGTTTAGCGTAAACACTACGCTGCTCCATGAGGCGAAATAGATTGAATTTATGACGCCCTGGGTGTTCTTGATTTTGCCGTCTCTCATCTTAAAAAATAAAATTCAACAATGAAGGAAATTTAGACATCTCAGTTACTAGTATACTGTATATAAATAATACACCGGGTAGAATTTATATGGAAAATAAATTAATAACAAGAATTGGTACGTTGACTCCATACGGTATGAAAAAAATCCACAATGTCTTCTTCCAGTTTGGCTTTTGACATTTTACTTCAAATCACTTCCTTTCCGTTCTTCATTACTTTGTTTTTGTCTGGATTTTGCGCCCGCTCCTATTCTTTGTAGGGCACATCTACATCAACACCAGGAACAGAAACATTGCAAATCCCATCTACATGCATAGGAGCAAAAATGATCAATAAATTGATCGTGGGCCCTTAAGATATAGAAGAAGAAGATATATATATATATATTATGTACGTTAGATTTATACTTATTTCAATGTTTTGTTGTTGTGCTCATAAAGGCATTTGCCGGAATGTTTACTTGTATATTATGTAAAATCCTTATTACAGCTGAACATATCTATATATATATAATTTGCCAGCAAAGGTCAAACACCACCTCCACCACGCAGGCTATATATAGATAATGAGTTCACTAGCGCGCAAAATGTAATTCCCGATAACTACGCTAATAATAACGCAACTTCGTTTAATGCGTAACATTTTTCGATAAATGAAATCGTCTCAATTTAAATATGGTGTAAAAAAAAAAAATATTCAGTTTAAAAGTGTTTGGGACATCAGAATATTTAATATAGTTTATGGGCGTAAAAAACAAGGGTGCAGTGACGTATCATGGGGAGGGGGAGGGGGTAGCAAAAATTGCAATTCATAAATGTGCATTACTTGAGTTCATGTTTTGTCAAGTAACTTTAGTAGATGGGAAGTTCACACAGTGCCGTCGCTTAATGTTTGGCGGGCTATATCTAGTTTTGTTTTATTTACACAAAATGTTCCTGTCTGTAATTTATGTATTTTAAAGTTTTATCAAAGTGAAACAGATTTATAATTAGTCAGTCATCTTAAAAAGCACAAAACATAAAGAGTACACGTCATGCATGAGATGTATTTTGTATATACAGGAAAAATACAAATCCTCCCCATAAATAATGGCGCCCAGTGCGGAACTCCCTTGCATGTTTAAATGATTCACTTCCACTTCAAGGAGCGCAAAGCTGAAAAGTGGAACCAGTAGCGTAGCTAGGTTAAATGTCACCCAAGGACGGACACATTTTTTCCCTTTCCCGTTTCACGCAGCAAATATTCCAGCTAGACGAAAAGGCGTCACCTCCACATTAGGATAAAAAGTGCAGCTTGGGGGAGGGGGGTGACGCCTCTTTTCCTACGCCACTAAATGACAGGGTCATCCAAAATTCAGGCGAAGATTCTACTCACACCAAATCTCATCCTTTGTCCTCTCAAAAATCTTTCTCCCAAAACTTCCTATTACTTCTAACCTACTCTAACTCTAACCTTTTTTTAAGGGCAGTTTAATGAATGTGTAGAATTTATTGTTACATTGCCATTTTGTTAAGCGTAGATCCTGAATAGAAAACGGAAAAAAACAAAAAACAACACGTTAATTATCATTCTTATCATCCTTATAGAATATCCCTTCCGACATGGGTATGGAAAAGTAAAGGAACGTAGGGAAAGGGAATAGACGCGGGAGTAACAACGCTAAACATGAAAACAAAAAAATATTTATTAGGCAAAAACTCACTGAAACAAATGAAATAGAATGCAACGTTAAATTGTTTTTCAAGGAAAAAAACAACCCACAAACGAATGAATCTAAACATTTTACTCATGATTTTAAATGTAGAAATAATCTGATAAATAAAAAATGTAACAGTATTATTGCTCAAGTAAATATTGCATACCAATAACTCGCAGCTGGACCATATTTCTTGTCGATACTCAATTAAAATTAGCAAATGTGAGGATTGAGGGGACTGCGATCAGGTTATGTAAAGAAAATAAGTAACATTTTCTTTCCTAAGGATAGATGTGAGTAACATTTTCTTTCCTAAGGATAGATGTGAGTAACATTTTCTTTCCTAAGGATAGATGTGAGTAACATTTTCTTTCCTAAGGATAGATGTGAGTAACATTTTCTTTCCTAAGGATAGATGTGAGTAACATTTTATTTCCTAAGGATAGATGTGAGTAACATTTTCTTTCCTAAGGATAGATGTGAGTAACATTTTCTTTCCTAAGGATAGATGTGAGTAACATTTTATTTCCTAAGGATAGATGTGAGTAACATTTTCTTTCCTAAGGATAGATGTGAGTAACATTTTCTTTCCTAAGGATAGATGTAAGATTCAAGAGGTTTCTCCTGCACTAACTGCGATGTTGTTCACGCAATTATTGTACACGCTACCAAATATGTTGCTTTGGCGAAATTTGACGGTGATTTCTTGAGCGATTCGGCGAACAGCTTTGCAATATTCATCAAGACAAATGCTATCTCGTTTCACTTCATGATTAGTGACCTAGAAACCCTTGCCGGTTTTTGTCACCTGCATTCAAAGTGGATGGTTTATCATTTTTTTTTTCTAACTTCAAACATTTGTGTCCCTAAAACATCAGAGGTGCCAAGCATCAGAAGGGTTAGCAGGTCTTTCGCGGCGGCTTTGTAACGACCCTATAGGCGACATGCCTCATATACGACTCTTGTTTCCTCTACCTACACACAAACCAGGGTGGTATAAGGAATAAATTAATACACACCCTGACACCACATGACATAAATTTGACTTTATCGTTTCTTGCCTCTCCATCTCCCTCTCGCGGTTACCAACAGTCATTGTGTATTTGTTTTTAGTTCTCTTTTTTATGTCCATAACACTCGTTCAAATACGTAACAATTTCCACAGGATTAGATAATTTTTTGTTTTACTTATTTTGGCTCGCTCCAGAAGACTTTTCTGCCTACACGGCCACGCTTTTCTTGTTTAATTATTATTTTTTTGTTGATGATTTTCTCTACCCTAGCCACATTATTTCTTTAATAAAGCCGCAGTGACATGCCTTCCTATCAAGCCTGTCTAGATGGATACTAAATGACGTAATCCAGATTTTCCTAGAAATGGACGCTAACTCACCCTCAGCGTTCGCAACAGGTGCACGCGTGAGGGTGTGTTTGACTCATCAGGGAATGTCTAGTGTTGACATGGCCACATTTTTCTTCTCAATCTTTAAATTCAACAACTTGAGAATCCTTTTATTGGGAGCATGTCCAAACAGAAATGATGAAAACATAGTAGATTGGATGATTGTAGCAAATAATTAGAAATGTTGAGTTTTGGTTTGTATTTCATTGATTGAGAGAGAATTTGGTCGGAGTTGGGGAGGGGGAGGGGGGGTTGTTTATATGTTAAAAAATCTTACAGGTAAAAAAATGCAAAGCGAAAAGGTCATGGTGTGAAGTCTTGCTAATTTTCTTTTAAAAGTAGCCCAAATTACATTCACTTATTTAGTAAATTATCACTCGTTTAGATAAAATTCTATAGTAAACGAGCCAGAAAGAATTTTTAAGAAGTTGTGGTTCATACACAATGTGTAATGGGATATAAATGTGTTGGATGCGGTGTTAGATCGCGTGGAGGACGGCGCACCGATGAACTTGAAGTGCAACTCTTGGCGACTGTGTGCACACTTTAAGTGCTGAACATATGGTCTTCACGACTTAAAAATGCTTCATTGTCCTTGACACATATAGCAGGGCTTGGATTGCGCAGCGCCGACACGTGACTGATTTCATCGAAACGTGTAGCGAATTTTCCAGAAAATCTTGGCATGTATATTATTAATGTCCCAGGCATAGGAACGTTTTTTCATCAAAATAAAGTTGTGACGGGCTTCAACGGTTCACTTCTGGTTTACTTCCCGCTGCAGGGATATTGTATGGAATATTTCCTGTAATAAGGGACTAACAACCTTCGTGTGTCAACATGTGTTGAATATGTAAGTATTGAAATAGGAAACATTTGTAATAAAAGAACGTGGCGTTTAGAGAGTTATACTCATCATGTGCTACCTTTGATTTAATCGATGCGAATATACTTTATTTCACTGTTTTGTAAAATATTTTATGTTTGAAAGGTGATCAGAGTTAAAAACTGAGTTTTTTAAATTTTTATTTATTTATTTTTTTTTTTTAAAAGTTTGGCGTGACCGTGGCTTTGATCGTGACGAACAGAAATCGAGGACGTCGAAGGCTTGCGAGCGAAAGTAAGGACGCAATCTGGGGAGGCAACACGTTGAACAGTGGGATTCTTATCAGAAAAAAATAAACAATAACCCCTTCCACTGTTTCTGTTTGACAAAATTTGAAAATAATACTACTTAATATGAACCGTGATTACATCTACTTAACAACTGTCGGACGGAACTCCTTTAAAACCCTCAATCACACTGTCAACAAGCGCAGGCTTTATTTAAATCTTCACACACGCTATTCTCTATTTCTAATTTGATTTTTTTGTTCCACTTAACTTTATCTCTTCAAGCTCATTTAGAAGTTTCTCTTTCTCTAGTGCTTATTCTGTCTGTCTACGTCCTTCGTCTGCCTGCCTACGTTCTTTTTCTGCCAGTCTGCATTCTTCGTCTGCCAGTCTGCATTCTTCGTCTGCCAGTCTGCATTCTTCGTCTGCCAGTCTACGTTCTTTGTCTGCATGTCCAAGCTCTCTGTGAGCCTATGTTCTGGCATTAGCTAATCTCTCATTTGGTCCGCTCTTCTGGTTTTGTTTGTTACCAAGCCCTCCTGCCAGTCTATCTTCCCTTTCAATATTTTCCTGTCGCCTTGTATTATCTCTAATACAATCAACTTCCTTATCATCATCTGTTTTTTCCCAGTACAACATCAATGTTTATTTTAAAAAAAAATATGATAGCGTTGTTGTTGTGAGAGGAGAAGGTATGATTAAATACCAATTGATTATTAAAGTATACACACAAGTCAAGTTTTCATACATCCCTCTCAGGCACGCATCTAGTGGGGTGGTGGCGGCCAGAGCTAGATTAGGGCCCACCCTTTTTCAAATTTTTTAAAATACACGCACATTTTTGAAACACGAAAGGACCCGAACTCTCTCCGCTGCCAGGGGCCCAGAATTTCCTAGGTGCTGTCCTGCCCTCTCTCCCCATTTGTTGCAACCGTGTATTTGAGGAACACCCCCCCCCCTTTTTTTTTCAGTCCCCTTATGTGTAACTACATACGAGAAATGACATAACAAAATGAAGATTAGCTATGGAAAAATGTTGTAATATTTACAATTTCAGCCCATGTTACCAACTGTGAGCTTGTTTCCAGTCGACGACCCCTTTGACAATCTTTGATCTTGCACTTGCAACGTGAGTAGGGAGAGCGGGGGTGGGATGTCACACTCTTTACATCTGTACATGCTAATTTAATCTCGCTTGTAGTCACATACTGTTCGATAGGTTGTCATTTACGTTTGTGAAGGTTTTTAACATTATGTTTTATATATTTACTTCTGTTTATGCATGTGTCAAGTGTATTTTGACAAAATACAGTAACCAATAATCCGATTTGCTCGGTTTGCTTATCAGAAAATGAAATCTATTTTAAATATTGTTAATATCTAGACTACCTTTTGGCCTAGCATTTAAAGCTAAAAAAAAGAAACCCACCCTTTGTTATTATATTATTTTGTTTAACTAAGTACTCTGAAAGAGCGCAAATGACATTAATCTATTGCACTGAATTTTTAAAAATCAAATACTATTTAGTTTTGTTACCTTCAATATGTGTTGTTGTGTAAGAAAGTGCTAATTTAAATTAATAATTTTGTGGAAAAAAAAAAATTAATAGAACGTTTAACAAAACATGTTTCAATCTTTGTAACAGAATGACGACACTACTACTTGTTGGCCGCGCAGGTAACGGCAAAAGTTCTGTTAGTAATTCAATACTTGGAACAATAAGTGCGAAACAACTGGTGGAGGTAGGCTATGAGGTTCAAAATTTAAAAAAGCTTGGAGCTGAAATTGGCGCAAAACTCGGAGCAAGACTTGGGGAACAACTTGTGGAAATCAATGATTTTTGTCCTGATGGGACAAGGGAGAGGACATTGTTGCACGACTTTGTGGAACAGTTTCAAAAAGAACTAAGAATGCACAATAAACGGTTCGTAGTAAAGGACACATCAGCAAAGGCAATATTGCAAAATATAATCAGAAGAAATAAACAGTTCGCTGTTGTGGACTGTTCCGGTATAGGGGACACTGGATTTGATATGGCGGGTGACATTAAAGAGGTAATTATGTCAGCACTGGATGCTATAAAATTGACAAGAGAAAAGTTTGATGACACAAATTATAATATAGCTGCCGAAGCACAAGCTGTACTTGATGGCGAAAAAGATTATAGTACAGCTGACCAAAAACATGTTGCACTTGATGGCCACAAAGATAATAGTACAACTGACCAAACACATGCTGAACTTGATGGCCACAAAGATAATAGTACAGCAACCGAAACACCAGTTGCACTTGATGGCGACAAAGATAATAGTACAGCTGACCAAACACATGTTGCACTGGATGGCGACAAAGATAATAGTACAGCAACCGAAACACCTGGTGCAATTGTTGGCGACAAAGATAATAGTACAGCAACCGAAACACCTGGTGCAATTGTTGGCGACAAAGATAATAGTACAGCAACCGAAACACCTGGTGCACTTGATGGCCACAAAGATAATAGTACAGCAACCGAAACACCTGGTGCAATTGTTGGCGACAAAGATAATAGTACAGCAACCGAAACACCTGGTGCACTTGATGGCCACAAAGATAATAGTACAGCAACCGAAACACCTGGTGCAATTGTTGGCGACAAAGATAATAGTACAGCAACCGAAACACCTGGTGCACTTGATGGCCACAAAGATAATAGTACAGCAACCGAAACACCTGGTGCACTTGATGGCGACAAAGATAATAGTACAGCTGACCAAACACATGTTGCACTGGATGGCCAAAAAGATAGGAGTACAGCTGACCAAACACATGCTGCATTTGATGGCCACAAAGATAATAGTACAGCAACAGAAACAACTGTTGCACTTGATGGCCACAAAGATAATATTACAGCTGACCAAACACATGCTGCACTTGATGGCCACAAAGATAGGAGTACAGCTGACCAAACACATGTTGCACTTGATGGCCACAAAGATAATAGTACAGCAGCCGAAACACCTGGTGCACATGATGGCCACAAAGATAATAGTACAGCAACCGAAACAACTGGTGCACTTGATGGCCAAAAAGATAATATTACAGCTAACCAAACTCATGGTGAACTTGATGGCCACAAAAATAATTATACAGCAGCCGAAACAACTTTTGCACTTGATGGCGACGAAGATAATAGTTCAGCTGACCAAAGACATGCTGCAATTGATGGCGACAAAGATAATAGTACAGCAACCGAAGCACCTGGTGCACTTGATGGCGACAAAGATAATAGTACAGCTGACCAAAGACATGCTGCACTTGATGGCGACAAAGATAGGAGTACAGCTGACCAAACACATGCTGCACTTGATGTCGACAAAGATAGGAGTACAGCTGACCAAAGACATGCTGCACTTGATGGCGAAAAAGATAATAGTACAGCAACCGAAACACCTGGTGCAATTGATGGTAACAAAGATAATAGTACAGCAACCGAAACACCTTGTGCACTTGATGGCGACAAAGATAATAGTACAGCTGACCAAAGACATGCTGCACTTGATGGCGACAAAGATAGGAGTACAGCTGACCAAAGACATGCTGCACTTGATGGCAACAAAGATAATAGTACAGCAACCGAAACACCCGGTGCACTTGATGGCGACAAAGATAATAGTACAGCAACCGAAACACCTGGTGCACTTGATGGCGACAAAGATAATAGTACAGCTGACCAAAGACATGCTGCACTTGATGGCGACAAAGATAGGAGTACAGCTGACCAAAGACATGCTGCACTTGATGGCCACAAAGATAATAGTACAGCTGACCAAAGACATGCTGCACTTGATGTCGACAAAGATAGGAGTACAGCTGACCAAAGACATGCTGCACTTGATGGCAACAAAGATAATAGTACAGCAACCGAAACACCTGGTGCACTTGATGGCGACAAAGATAATAGTACAGCTGACCAAAGACATGCTGCACTTGATGGCGACAAAGATAGGAGTACAGCTGACAAAACACATGCTGCACTTGATGTCGACAAAGATAATAGTACAGCTGACCAAACACATGCTGCACTTGATGGCCACAAAGATAGGAGTACAGCTGACCAAACACATGCTGCACTTGATGGCCACAAAGATAATAGTACAGCAACCGAAACACCTGGTGCACTTGATGGCGACAAAGATAATAGTACAGCAACCGAAACACCTGGTGCACTTGATGGCGACAAAGATAATAGTACAGCAACCGAAACACCTGGTGCACTTGATGGCGACAAAGATAATAGTACAGCTGACCAAACACATGCTGCACTTGATGGCCACAAAGATAGGAGTACAGCTGACCAAACACATGCTGCACTTGATGGCCACAAAGATAGGAGTACAGCTGACCAAACACATGCTGCACTTGATGGCCACAAAGATAATAGTACAGCTGACCAAACACATGCTGCACTTGATGGCCACAAAGATAATAGTACAGCTGACCAAACACATGCTGCACTTGATGGCCACAAAGATAGGAGTACAGCTAACCAAACACATGCTGCACTTGATGGCCACAAAGATAATAGTACAGCAACCGAAACACCTGGTGCACTTGATGGCGACAAAGATAATAGTACAGCAACCGAAACACCTGGTGCAATTGATGGCCACAAAGATAATAGTACAGCAACCGAAACAACTGGTGCACTTTATGGCCAAAAAGATAATATTACAGCTGACCAAACTCATGGTGAACTTGATGGCCACAAAAATAATGGTACAGCAGCCGAAACAACTGTTGCACTTGATGGCGACGAAGATAATAGTTCAGCTGACCAAAGACATGCTGCACTTCATGGCCACAAAGATAATAGTACAGCTTACCAAACACATGCTGCACTTGATGGCCACAAAGATAATATTACAGCTGACCAAACACATGCTGCACTTGATGGCGAAAAAAATAGTAGTACAGCTGACCAAGCACATGCTGCACTTGATGGCCACAAAGATAATATTACAGCTGACCAAACACATGCTGCACTTGATGGCCACAAAGATAATAGTACTGCTGACCAAACACATGCTGCACTTGATGGCCACAAAGATAATAGTACAGCTGACCAAACACATGCTGCACTTGATGGCCACAAAGATGATAGTACAGCAACCGAAACACCTGGTGCACTTGATTGCGACAAAGATAATAGTACAGCTGACCAAACACATGCTGCACTTGATGGCCACAAAGATAATAGTACAGCAACCGAAACAACTGGTGTACTTGATGGCCACAAAGATAATATTACAGCTGACCAAACTCATGCTGAACTTGATGGCCACAAAAATAATGGTACAGCAGCCGAAACAACTGTTGCACTTGATGGCGACAAAGATAATAGTTCAGCTGACCAAAGACATGCTGCACTTGATGGCCACAAAGATAATAGTTCAGCTGACCAAAGACATGCTGCACTTGATGGCCACAAAGATAATAGTTCAGCTGATCAAACACATGCTGCACTTGGTGGAGATACAAATATCAAGAATAGCATTGTTACAGATGAAGAAGGGAGAGGCACATGCGTCACATACGGTGGATTCGATGCTTTAATATTTGTCATGAAATATGGTGTCCGATATACCAAACAAGAGAAGGACTCGGTAAAGATGATCAAGTGTATTTTTGGAGAAAATATCTTTGTAGACTGGGGAATCATCGTGTTTACATATGGCGATAACTTTTACACTGACTCTCAAATAACGTTTGACGATTGGTGCAGGGAACAAACAGGCGATATAAAATCGCTTTTCGAAGAAGTCCAATACAGGTGTGTCATCTTTGATAATAAATCGGTGAATATAGAGTTACAAAATCGTCAACGGTCGACTTTATCGACTTTGATTAATAGAGTAAAAGAGCGAAACGTAGGAAGGTATAAAATAGATGGGTCCGCAGGGGCATTAAAAATAATTGATACTTATGACACATTTTTTAGATCGAAGCAACGGCGCCCGTCTGAAGAACTGATTGAATTTGAAAAAAAAATTAAAACAGACTGGACGGTATGCTCACTAAGTGCACCAGAAGAATACAAAACATCTTTGGAAAATGAAGTAAAAGAAATGAAGAAACACCGATGTACATTCATTTAAGCATTTGGTTTAAACTTAATTCAATAATCGCGAGCCGGGATAGCGTGACATTTTAAAATGTTTGCATGTCATTTATTGCTTGTGTAATTAGGGTTAGTACGAAATTGGGGCATAGGCGCCTTTTAGTGGATTTTTACAAAGAATTCTTATTTTATCATTGGCGAGTTTTTCCCCCTTAATTTTTGTTTTCCCCTTGCAATGATCCACAAGTCTCTGGGGCTCAAATTGAGAACCTCTCTTCAAGATCTACGCAGTTTCGTAATGCGATTTTTAAAACCACTAAAATCGGAGAGAGCTGACCATCACCGCTTCTATACAGGAGGGAGTAACTGTTATCTTACTTTAACCTTGTTATCTTTTGCCACGAATTAACGCCCAGTGTTTGACATATTGATGGATTATGCTTTGATTTTACCCATGGTTTTTCATACATAATATATTCTCACTTATATATGAACCATTTGTGTCAATATCAATTTACATAACATGCATTTATTGCTAAATCCTTAAAACTGTTCATGTTGTTATCAATTACCCAAAGACCAAACACCTTGTCTTTCTATTCTGTCATGATTATTTCAACCGTCAGAGTCAACCTGTAGTTTACTTTTTTCCTTAGTAGTGTAAACTGGAAAAAAAATTACTTTCTTTAATACATGTTTGTGCTTGATGATATTAATAAAATAAGGTTTGCACGTTTCTATGCGTCTATCCGTCTTTTGTTAAAAGCACTATAGGTTATTCAAATGATACACACTTTGTATGTGCCATTTGATGTATGCATATGCTGACCTTTTCAAATAAAATTAAAAATTGCACCAACGATTGTGTTGATAAAATTTTTATTGAAACCCTAAAAGTCAAGGTGTCTCTTTGCTTGATCTCCGATTTGAAAGAATAATATGGAGTTAAAGATAAGTGGTTGGTATACCATAAGTTCCTTTAATAATTAATGTGAATAATAAAGGTGCATTGATGAGGAAATGAACGCAAAGATCAATATCTATCGATCTATCGATCTATCGATCTATCGATCTATCGATCTATCGATCTATCGATCTATCGATCTATCGATCTATCGATCGATCTATCTATCTATCTATCTATCTATCTATCTATCTATCTATCTATCTATCTATCTATCTATCTATCTATCTATCTATCTATCTATCTATCTATCTATCTATCTATCTATCTATCTATCTATCTATCTATCTATCTATCTATCTATCTGTCTATCTGTCTATCTGTCTATCTGTCTATCTGTCTATCTGTCTGTCTGTCTGTCTGTCTGTCTGTCTGCCTTACTGTGGAATGGGGCCAGAAAAATTATCGACACACTCCGTGCGGAATCAACTTTAGCTACACCACTGGGTCCTCAGAAATAACTTTCTGGAGTATAGAGGCTGGGCGATGTCAATGACTCTGCCTGTGAAAATACTTCAGTTGAATTAAATGTAATGCCTTTTATCTGAATACATATCATTATGTGGAATCTTGTCAATATGTTAGTAGGCCATGAGCCAGCAAAACTGAAAACAGTTGATCTGTACTTGCCTAAAGAACAGATATTTTCATTGGAAAGTTATCACACGAAACTAGCAATTACCTTCATTGATAAGTAGTCACACGATCCAAATCACCTTTCATTTCATCTGTAAGCTATCAAATGATCATTCTAACAATTCAGTTCATTGGTCAGCTATAACACGATCCAAATTGCCATTTATTCATGGGTAAGTTATCATCTTTAAAACTCATTCTTTAGGTGTTGTTGTATTTACATCACTCGCATTGAATGTACAGTTGAGCCTGTCGTTTAACTACTAGGGATATTTTTGGTTTGCCTCTTATTGGTGGCCATGGTAGAATTTCAATATTTTCGGAGACAAAGTAAATGCTTATCATATTTCTGTTTGAAGGATGTAAATAATGGATTTATAAAATGATAATTTGTTTATAATGGGACAAATTTTAAATTTCTATAATTTATCCGAATGACTGTTATAGGGTCCCCACCCCATCTCAGACATAACTTAAACGGTACTTTTTTTAAATGGGCGCCCACCGAGGCCCCTTTTTTTATATTTTAAACGTACTATGGTTACAGTCGTTTATTTAAGTTGTATAATAATTGGCATTCGAGTAATAATTATGCAGAAGGGTAATTTTTAACACGTTACACGGAGGATATTAAATTTAATCTAGAATGTTCCAGGAGGTTCTTTATTATTCTACGGGATATATGATGGGATCTAAAAGCTTATTTGAACAAAATCGCACTGAGCATGATCCCATAGAGTAACAGGATCAAAAGGGGGAACGGGATCCAACAGTAAAGTGGTACCCTTCAGTTAAGCGATTCAATCGGAAAGCGCTATCAAACCGGGTTTAGGGATCCTATCTGGAAAACGGTTAAGATCGGAAAAGAGTGTCCCAAGGTGGAACGGGGTCCCACAGAAAGCTGTATCCTAACCGGATTGGTAGGCCATCGGGATCCACCGAGATCGGGATCTCTCTGGGATAAAGACACGGAAGGGATCGGGATCCCACCGGGATCTGGACTCCCTCTGGATCCGGAGCCACAAGAATACGGAATCCCACCGGGAACGGGATCACCCCCCTCCCCCCCCCTGGAAACGAGATTGCGCCTGGATCGTGGTCAGATTTGGGATTGGGGTCCCAATCGGGATTGGGGTCTTACAGGATCGGGGTCCTAATGCAATACTGTATATTGGCTAGTATATATATATATAATATATATATATATATATATATATATATATATAGAGAGAGAGAGAGAGAGAGAGAGAGAGAGACAGAGAGAGAGAGAGAGAGAGAGAGAGAGAGGGGGGGGGGGGGAGAGAGGGGAGAGTTATATTTGAGAGTATATATATATATAATATATATATATATATATATATATATATATATAGAGAGAGAGAGAGAGAGAGAGAGAGAGAGACAGACAGACAGAGAGAGAGAGAGAGAGAGATAGGAGGAGGGGGAGAGAGAGGAGAGGGATTCCGCTAAAAGCGAACCCGCGATGTGTAGGGAAATCCCCCTTGTCTATAAATAAAGCGATGCAGTCTCACTGGAAAAAATAAATACGTCCATCAGATTGTGGGAAAACCCTTTCTTATTCGACCTAAGGCTAAGGCACAGCTGTGCATTCACTGCAGTTGGCCAAGAGCTAGAAGCACCTTAACCAGTTCGTTGTTGCTATTCCAACATTTATTGGACGATCCAAACATTCATTAACTTTATTCGTAAGTTAGCATCTTTCATTCTTACTCTTGAATTGTTTCTCTATATCGGTGTATCTTATTCGTTTGGTTTGTTTCAGACAACTTTTTCCAAGTTGGCTCGAAAAAGTTAAGTAACTTTATTTTTTTTTCATGGAAATGAGACGGCAAAATCTATTGGGCAGTGCATCTGTCAACACCTTAAATAGGCCTAATGATAACCAGGGCGCGCCCCCCCCCTCGCCCAACGTAAGGTAAATTGACGCCAGTTATGGCGCACCAAATAGTGTACGTTAGGTCCCAGCGTAAATCATCTATAAGTTACAATTAATTACAATAAATTAAAGGAAAGTAATTTACTTGTAAGTTTTTTTTAAAAATAACATGTGCATCTTCAATCGCTACTTTTATACAATACTAGCCAAAGTACCCGGCGTCGCCCGGGATTGCATTAGGACCCCAATCCCTGCGAAGGTCCGTTTCCCGATGGGACCCCGTTCCCCGGTGGGATCGCGTAACCGATGGGTTCAAGTTTACTGTTTGATCTCGTTCCCCATTAGGACCCTGTTCCTCTATGGGATCTTGCTCAGTGCGATTTTGTTCAAATAAGCTTTTAGATCTTCCCCGTAGAACAATATAGAAAATTCTAGAGCAATCGAGAGTAAATTTAATGTTCTCTATGACATGTGTAAAAAATTACTTTTTTACTTAATTATTTCTCGAATGCAAAATATTATACAACGTCATTGTACTACTATAACTATAGTTCATTTTAATTGAAATATGAGCACCGATGGGGGCCCATTTAATAAAATACCTTCTGAGATGGGTGACCCTATAAAAATCATTCAGATAAATTATAGAGTTAAAATTTAAAATTTGTCCCATTAAACTCGGTTTAAAAATGCCCTAGATATAGCTTGTTTAAAGCTATGGAACTTTCTTGAAAATTCTAGATCGGCCCTGAATGGATTGGATATTGTTAGTTTTAAATCAACCGATATTTTAATACGGACTAAGAACGGTATTGCTACAAAGCTAGGCCTAGATCTTCATTTTCACACAGAACCTAGTATTGATATTTATATAGCTAATATAATGAAAAATGATATCGCCCCCACCCCCCCCGCCCCAGAGGGATGGATATTATCAGGTCAGTACCCTTCGGTATTTGAATATGGATAATCAAGTGTATGTGTAATAAGTTAGGTAAAGATCCATCTATTCATGTAGGTGTTTTTGGCCTATTGATATTTAATATAGCTTATATAAGAAAAAATTAAATGGGGCCCCTGGCCCCACAGGGATGGATATTATGAGTTCAGTACCCTTCGGTATTTTGGGTATGGATAATTAAGTTTATGTGACATAAGTTTGGTCAAGATCCATCTATTCATGTAGGAGTATTTGTCGATCATTTTTGTTATATAGCTCAAATAGGAAAAAACGACATTTTGGGCCCCCGGCCCAAAACATAATGTAATATAAAGTTCATAACCCCTTAAGAGTTCCTTCCCAAAAATGATGGATATATGTGCCAAGTTTGATCAAGATCCATCATTCCATGTAAAAACGCATGTGGAAAAAATCCAGCCACACAAAAAAATTCACCTTTATATATATATATATATATATATATATGATTTATGACTGGCAAATATTTATACTAATAACAATATTTGAGAGTATAATGACATTATACAATTAATAATCTAAAATAAGAGTCAACAAAAACAATGCTTTTTTTGTTTGTTAAAGAAACAATTTTATTTTATTTTGATTTGTAAAAAAAATTGCACAGTCCGTTCACCTTATTAAACTGTATGGTACGGGGGGGGGGGGGGGGGGTTTGGGGGGGTGTGTGGGTTTTAAAAAAATTTTNGTTGCATTATTTTCGAATACTTCATTGTTTAAGGACGTCATTAATGTTGTGTCCGTCCGTCCGCCCCCCCCACCGTGGGGGGGGGGGGGGGGAATGTTTGTGGTTTTGAATTGTTTGTATGAAGACATGTCATAGATACGAGACGGAAGGCTCGACACTCTAAGACTCTAAGTCTCTTCCAAGTCACCACGGTTAAAGAAAACCGAAGCCACATGGAAATGAAGCCCCGTAGGCTGTATAACCTTCACTCAATGAAATCCAGCTATTCCCTTACGACCAAACTCTATCGACTATACCCGGAAATTCCGAGTCTTACACACCGGACCTGGCGAAATGAAACTGAACCGGGTCTGGGTGATATTTTATGCAATTTTTAAACTTATTTTTTTTTTTTGGGTACATTCTTACATGTCCCATGTTAAAAAAAAAATTAAAAATAGAATACTTATTAGCGATTGGTTGGAAGCGAAATGTAAGCTACGTTGAACTTCAAAGTTCTAAACACAATAATGTGCTTTTTGCGAATTTGTGGTCAATATTTATCTTGGCAAGATGCGTAACTTTTGTTGTGACCATGCCACGTCCGGTTTACATTTAATATTTCCGTTCACATGGCAACAGTAATCTTTCGTCCACCTTTAACCTTTGAATGTTTTCGTGAGTGTGACGTAATCATTTTGTTCAGCTACATCAGGGGTCCATGGAATTTTTGCTAATCGCGACGCTTGCCGGTTTTTTACTTTTGTTTTGTTTAACCCACACACCCACATGTCAAATTCTCACTACTTCACTTCAGAATAGTGAATTCATTTAAAAAAAAAATAAAATGGGTTGAGTTAAAATAAATAAGACATGCATGTACGTCACTTAGCACCATCTGGTAATCATTTGTAAGAGCTTCTGCGCAAGGGTAATTACTAAGGTGAGCTACTGATTTAAACCTGATCCACTAGATGTGCGCCCTGTCATATTCGACTGAAAGTGAAAAAAAAAAAAATAACATTGCGTAACGCGGTACACATGTGGGGAACAACTGGACTGTAACAAAGAGACAGCGGAGAAAACAAGTGGCATTGAAACTTAGGCTGACTATGACATNGGGGGGGGGGGGGGGGGGGGGGGGAGGGGATAGTATTGTCCAAAGAGTACGCGAGGAGCTAGGAGAAACGGCGAGATGAGATTTTTTGGTGCCAGTAATACGTGGATGGCCTCTTACGTGAACTATAAATGTAGTTTTCACTTGCAGGCATTGTGTGGAAAACATGTATCGTTTTTTATTGACGATTCCTGAAATGTAATACCTCAATATGTACACGAAACTTTTGGCTGGGTAAAGTCTTTAAAAAAAGAACAACAACGGTAGCAGAAACATTGAGAGTATTGTTATTATGGAGTGTATGAAAACCTTAAATCACAATAATTACACGAGAATCGTGAGTCAGATGAACATTGCTATGTTATGTCATGTTAGGGTCTATCAATATTGAGTGAGAGTTAGTAAATGTTTTTTTTTTTTTCCCCATCGGCAGTTCGTTTTTAGCTGTTCGTTAGTTTACATGGAGGATTAGGATTCGTTTCAAGTATTTGTTTAAGGACATATTTTAAATAGGCCAATATTTTAGCTGAGTATGTTTGATCGGACCCAGTCTACTAGCAGTTGCAGTGAATTATTGCATTGACAATTAAAGGATTATATTTACCCGTAGAATTTTTGTGTTGAATCTCCTTAATTCCATCAAAGGTTTTATTCTCTTTTAGAACAATGGCATCGTCCTATCCTCACAGCCCTCACCAGAAATATTACGTCGACATTACGCCATCATCACTTGGAGACGGCTGCCAACTTTCTAAAAGTAGTTTTTTTTAAATAACAGCTTCAAGTTTTTGTTAATTATTTAATACAATTACATGTTCATAGTCTATATTATTTTTAAAAAATCTCTTAAACATTCCCCCCCCCCCTATAAAAGTGAGTGAAAACGGCATTGTATTTGGGTTGCTCTCCACAGAAAGACTTGCAGATATGGTTCATTTTTGCTTTTTGAAGAGTTCTCTTTGATACGTTTTCACTTGTTTAAACTAGCATCATTTTATAAAAAAAAAAAAGATACAATCTACTTGTATTTAGAAACGGATACCTTATTTAATTCTCAGAGAAGACATTTTAAAATAATGCTTAAATCACCTTTGAATTAAATGTGTTTTATGTAAGCTTTATTTCCTTTATGTGTGTTTGATTATCGATTTAAATATACATATTTCAGAAACAATGAAAGCGCTGAGCACCTTACTTCTAGTAGGCCGGTCGGGCAATGGGAAAAGCTCTGTTAGAAACTCCATCCTTGGAGAACCAGATTTGAAACAGACCGGAACGAAAGACAAAACAACCTTGTCAAAATTTGACAATTCATTGATTTCATTTAATGAAATCGGCTCCAATGATGAGTTCGTTGTTGTGGACTGCTCGGGTGTTGGCGACACAGGATCAGATATTGCTGATAACTTGGAGGCTGTCGTTGGAAAACCAGATTTCAAAAAGACCGGGACGAAAGAGAAAACAGCGTTGTCAAATGAAATCGGCTCCAATGGTGAGTTCATAGTTGTTGACTGCTCGGGTGTTGGAGACACAGGATCAGATATGGCAGGTACCTTGGAAGCTGTGATACGCACCGCTGAAAATGGAGTGCAACAGATTCCGGGATGTGTAGATGAAAATGACACTTTTGATATGTGTAAGGAACTGAAAAACTCGGCTGAAGATATAGAAATGTTGCCAAGCGATAAAAGCAAAGGCTTCGATGTCCTGATATTCGTCATGAAATATGGCGTCCGGTTTACCAAACAAGAGAAAGACGCCGTCCAAATGGTCAAGTCTATCTTTGGAGAAAATGTGTTCAGAGATTGGGGGATTTTAGTTTTCTCTTACGGTGACAACTTTTATCTGGATACGAAAGATGATGAAATAACGTTCGAAGATTGGTGCAAAGCACAAAGAGGTGATATCAAATTACTCTTTGAAGAGGTTCAGTACAGATGTGTAATATTCAATAATAAATCTGGTAAAGATGACAAACAACTTAATAAACTGAAATATAATATCCAGCAAGTCACGACAAAAGGATGCACATACACTTTGAAGGACTTTGACGATGCGGAGATGGAACGTGATAAACTAAAGTTGAAATACAAATACGAAAAATTGCAGAGAAAAGTGGAAAATCTGTTAACAAATGCCATTCAATCGGTGGAGCAGTCACCACCTGAACGTGACCGATTTCAACAGGTACTGGATGAACTGCTGCAACTTGTCCAAGAAATTCCCGAGAAGGAACAACTTACTGATGAATTTAAACACCTTTCGCAACACGTCAAAGTGCAGATGGCTTTGCTGCAGACCACGCTAGCAAATGCGGAAGAAAGCATGATAGGAGAATATCTTTGGAAAACCTGGCAAATAATTTCAAATTATTTTTGGGTGATAATAGATAAGATAGTTTCATTATTACCATGAATTTGAATGTATAATTTAAAAATAAATCGCAACAATCACCTGGATTATTCAAACCCATTTGGTCATTCAGTCAGCGGCAAACCTAAGAAATGGAAAAAAAAGGGTGGGGGGGGGGGTGGGGGATGGAGACATAGCCCTAATAAAAGAAAACTTTTTTTTTAGGGAATAGGAATTTTAAACAGCTTAAAATTATCTGCACAATCTAGTAAATTCATGATTTTATTCATGAACCTTATTGTTTTGCTAATATTGAAAATGTAACGCTGTTCACACAATTTAAACAAACATAATCATGAACTTAAAAAATTAATTGACATACTACTTTGATTTTTAAAAAAAACAACAACCAAAAACACATGTGTGATTGTCCACTCATACCAAAAGATCGGGCAACGTACTATTCTTCATCATCAAAGTCACCACAGTTCATGTTAAGTGCCCCGAGCTGCTGCAACTTCATTGAGCGTTGGATGTCAATAACCTACGGATAATTGTATTCTTAAGGTTTATATTTTTAATGCGTAGTTCTGCTTGAGTTCGGAAGTATTTTGACACTTTAAGGTTTTATTTATATATGTTGTCTTTGACACTTCAAGGTTTCTATTCATATATTTTAAGTCTTTGACACTTTAAGGTTTTATTTAGATATTTTAAGTCTTTGACACTTTAAGGTTTTAATTTAGATATGTTAAGTCTTTGACACTTTAAGGTTTTAATTTAGATATGTTAAGTCTTTGACACTTTAAGGTTTTATTGAGATATGTTAAGTCTTTGACACTTTAAGGTTTTAATTTAGATATGTTAAGTCTTTGACACTTTAAGGTTTTAATTTAGATATGTTAAGTCTTTGACACTTTAAGGTTTTATTTAGATATGTTAAGTATTTTTATCTCAACAAATGGCCAGACATATTTTTGTTGACTTCTATTTTTACTTTTTTTTTAAATCCTGATTTTTCTTTTTTTTGTGGGATTTTGAAAAAAAACAACCAATCATTAAAGTAACTAAGTAGCGACAATGAAGCATAGGTTCATGATTTTAAAACACGACTTTTCATCAGAAAACATGATACTTCATTTCATAATACACAGATTCGTATATTGTTTTGAAATAATAAGGATGTTTCCAAAAAGAAATATTTAAAATCTGGGAAGTGAGACGAAAAGTAAACAATTCATTTCACTGCAACCGAAAAAAATTTGGATCTCTGATGAGAACAATTTACCTGGCCAACTAAGCAGTCAGCTTGTGTGTCGACTGAAAGAAAGATGTAAAAAAGGCTTGATACTTCGCTTAAATTCTGGTCTAAAGGCAAGAATTTCGTTTTATTTGTTTAAAATAAAAAAATAATAAATAAATATATATAGTATTGATGTATGTTTTCAATTTATAAGAAAAAAAACAAAAACAAAAAAAAAAACAACAAAAAAAACGACAACATAAGACACACTAAGAGGTAAAAAATAATTAAATATTTCTCAAAACGCATTACGCAAAACATAACTGTGCAGAAGTGTCGATGCTCACTGTATGAATCCAAAGGACTCGAATTGAATGTGGACTAAACGTAAATGTGGTATATTTTTAAAATTATTTTATGAAAATATTTTCTGCACAGACTTTCTTTGTGTAAGTTAAAAGAAATTTCGACGAGAAAAACGATGACTTAATGACAAAAGAAAACCAATGCTCCATCCTCACATCCATCCACACATCCATCCACAAATCCATCCACACATCCATCCTCACATCCACAAGATGGAAATGCAAGTAGAAAGAAAGTCTTTCATTCGCAAGATTCCCCATTATTCTTCAGTAAATAAAAAAAAAGATAATAATTTCTGGTCAACGTCACACTTAGTTCATACGATCAAATTTTCGATGATACATTTCAAGATATTTTTTCTATGAAGCGTTGTCACAACTTTCAAATTACTATGCACATTTTTTGTCACGGTATCATCATGCGACCTCTATATAAAGAGTGCACACAAAAAAAATGGTTGTTATTCGCGAACGAGATAATATTGACTACGCTAGGGTATCGCAACAACAACAACCTCCAAATAAGAATTATGTACTTAAACAATTTTTTTTTTAAAATGTAATAATGACTGAAATTTTTTTTTTACACAATACATGGGAGTAGGGCATGATGCCATTGAAATTTATTTATAATTAAGCTAATTACTAATTACTAAAAATAATATTCTGTACTTTAACTTTAATTGCCCAGTTACACAATACAGACACTACAGCAGGAAACTTGTAGCTGCTAAGTTACTACTAGTTACTTCTGCTCCGGCTCGCTACTGCGACTGTAACTGTTGCCATCTTGGCCAGCGTTTGAGACACACACACAAAACAAAACAAGCCACAACCTAACTAAGTCTAAACTAACGGACTGACTCCAGGAGTTCCAATCCAAACACGTTACTTGTGGGCCGACTAAAAGTGTCTTTAAATAATACAAGGAATAAAAAAGTGACAAGACAAGAACGGTTTTGGAGCAAACTCTTTTTTTTTTTTTTTGGACGAGCCCCGATGCAGATTTTATTTTTAGTCAGCTCCAGCCCCGCTCCGGCAAAATAAAAAATAAAAAAAAATTTAAAAAAAAAATGGGGGGCGGGGGGGGTTGATGATTGATAACTTATTTTTTTTTTTTTTTGGACGAGCCCCGATGCAGATTTTATTTTTAGTCAGCTCCAGCTCCGCTCCGGCAAAATAAAAAATAAAAAAAAATTTAAAAAAAAAGTGTGGGGCGGGGGGGGTTGATGATTGATAACTTATATAGTGCTTGCCTCAGGCTATTATAGCTTGCTCAAAGCGCTCTAATGTCATAAACTCTAAATGAAAAAAAGGGGCCGCTGGATGTTAAATGAGAGGCCCCTGATTGTTAAATGAGGGGCTGCTGAATGTTAAATGAGGGCCCGTTGAGTGTTAAATGAGGGGGCTTCTTTTGTGTTGTAAGTTATATTTTCGTCGTCACCATCTAAATCTAAGTAGCAAAGCATTGGAACTTCATGTAGTAGCAGGATTGTTGGTAGAAGGGTCGGGGCAACATAGCTGATAGAAGTATACGGGGCAACATAGCTGGTAGATAGGTCGAGGACAACATAGCTGGTAGATTGGTCGGGGTAACATAGCTGGTAGATAGGTCGAGGACAACATAGCTGGTAGATTGGTCGGGGTAACATAGCTGGTAGATAGGTCGAGGACAACATAGCTGGTAGATAGGTCGAGGACAACATAGCTGGTAGATTGGTCGGGGCAACACAGCTGATGGAACGTCGTAGCTTAAGATATACATCTTTTCTCTGTTGCTACTAGTTCTCTGATCCTGTTTTTAAATAGTTTCTTAAGCTGTCACAGGCTTTCAGGCGTATCGCCCGCTGTTGTGTTTGGTTTTCAGGTTTTCCCTGTGTGCTGTATTGCGAGATAACCAGCTTACCTTGACCTAAGCGCTGATGCCCCGCCCCCACCCACCTGTCGCTTTTTGACGTTCTTTGGGTAAAGTGAAAGTGTCCTTAACATTAGGATAACAAACCTGGACACGAGAGAGGCGATCTTCAGCGTTCAAGGACTGAGTGGGAAGATCAGTTGAAACCAAATCAGTAGGGAAATTTATTTTGTTCAAATTTTTTATATTACAAATAAATACTTCTGTTAATATGTGTGTATACGAATATATATATATATATATATATATATATAAATATATATATATAGTTAAAATGTAATATATATATTCATTTTTAAAACTTTTGTGAACGTATGAAAGCTGTTACGAAATACGAATAATTGATTTATCCAGGCCCAAGTGATTTGCAATAAAGCTTTGACCCCTTTTTAAGCTATTCAAACACTTAAGAAATTGATTTAAATAAAAACTGTAATTTTTCTCACGTCAACAATTCATAAAATAAAATAAATAAAAATAGTTCTTACTTATTTTATTTTAACCAGAGGAGAATGAGAACCCTTCTTTTGGTTGGACGTTCAAGCAATGGGAAGAGTTCTATCGGTAACTCGATACTTGGTGGTCAGGTATTCAGTCTGAGGAGTCCATCAGAAGGGGTACGGTTGGGCAATGAAAGACGATCGAACAATGATTATATTGTAGTCGACTGCTCTGGTATCGGAGACACGGTAGGGGAAATAAATCGCGATGTGAAATGTGTAATACAATCAGCCTTGGATGGGTTAATGTTGTGTGACAGTGAGAAAGAAATGACTTTAAATGGAAAACACCACAACTCTTCTGGTGGACCGACGCTATGTAATGATAATTATAAAAACCAAGGGACATCTGATCAAAATCTGAAAATGGACGAGACGGTTGATGAACTCAAGTGTGGGTTTGATGCCCTGATATTTGTCCTGAAATATGGGGTACGGTTTACCAAACAAGAGAAAGACGCCGTACAAATGGTCAAGTCGATCTTTGGAGAAAATGTGTTCAGAGATTGGGGGATCTTAGTTTTCTCTTACGGTGACAACTTTTATCTGGATACGGAAGATGATGGAATGACGTTTGAAGATTGGTGCCAGGAACAAACAGGTGATATAAAGACTTTATTTGAAGAGGTGGGCTACAGGTGTGTTCTGTTTGACAATAAGTCCCGCGATGAAAAGAAACAGAATTTACAACGGGAAATTCTAACAACCTACATTACAAAAATAATGAATAGCCAGAAAGGGAAGTACACTCACGCAGAATTTGTCAGTGCTGATGCCGGTAAGGTTAAACTACTTTTACAAAGTCAGTTTAAAGGGATAGAAAGTGATGTCCAACGTCTGATACAAGAATCGGACGAGGGCGCTCGGAAAATGGAGGAAATTCATCCCGAGTGGATGTCGCAATTGGAGACACTGAAACAGGTGCATCGTCAGCTGCTGTCAGAAAAGGAGAAACTAGAGACCAAAGACCAAGGAACTGAACTGCTACGGGATTTAGTGACACAAGTCAGATGTCAGATTTTGAAGATAAAGAGTGCGTTAGAGAAAGTCAGTGTTAGTCCAGGCAGGCACATTTCTAATTCAGAAATATCCAATGTTAATCCAGGGGGGCACTCTGCTAATCCAGAGATATCCGCCGTCAGTCCAGGGGGATCCGGAGGTGTTATAGGAGAAACCGCTGTTCCTTCACGAGCACGCAATTTAGGTGACGTGGAGTCAAAGAGGAATGCTGACTCCGAGAGTGCAATAAGCGGTTCTAGGGAATGGTGTATAATACGTAAGTATTGCTGTTGTTTTTCACAAGACAGGTATAATGTGTTAGACGAAACGAATCCATCAATTCAAAAGAACGAATCCATCAATTCAAACGGGTTGAACTTCCTGCACCGTTGACACACATCGGCGTATGTGCTGAATAAAATTATTTTGAGTCGGTAATGAAAATACTGTGATTCGTGTTTAGCTTATCATATTGATAACTTTGTCATTTTGATAAGAAGTGTTAACATGTAATATTGATAAGCGATATTTTGATGGTGTTGTAAAGATGCAATATTGATAAGAGATATTTGATAGTTTTGTAAAGATGTAATATTGATAAGGGATTCTTTGATAGTTTTGTAAAATGCAATATTGATAAGAGATATTTGATAGTTTTGTAAAGATGTAATTATTGATAAGAGATATTTGATAGTTTTGTAAACATGTAATACTAATGAGAGATGTTCATAAGTTTTGTAAACATGTAATATTGATAAGACATATTGATACGTTTTGTAAACATGTAATATTTATAAGAGATGTTGATAAGTTTTGTAAACATGTTATATTGATATGAGATGTTGATAAGTTTTTTTAATATGAAATGTTGATTACACATGTTGATAATTAAAATCAATGAGTGATTAAGGAAAGTCATGTTAATAAGTTATTTTAATTTTAGAATAAAATACAATATGTGCCAAATATCTCAGCACTACAGCATCTCGATCTCAGATATGTGTTTGTCAACGTTGCAAAGCGGCAGTCGCTACCCAAGTTCCCATTAGTGATAGTGAAGATATAGTCAGTGTTGTGACAGTCGCTACCCAAGTTCCAAGTAGTTAGAGTGAAGATATAGTCAGTGTTGTGACAGTCGCTACCCAAGTTCCCAGTAGTTAGAGTGAAGATATAGTTAGTAGTTGTGACAGTCGCTACCCATGTTCCCAGTAGTTAGAGTGAAGATATAGTTAGTAGTTGTGACAGTCGCTACCCAAGTTCCCAGTAGTTCGAGTGAAGATATAGTTAGTAGTTGTGACAGTCGCTACCCAAGTTCCCAGTAGTTCGAGTGAAGATATAGTTAGTAGTTGTGACAGTCGCTACCCAAGTTCACAGTAGTTCGAGTGAAGATATAGTCTGTAGTTGTTACACTCGTTACCCGATAGGGGGATATACTTATTATCTGATGATTGCGCGAGCAAGGAAATACAACCCGTCATGTGAACTCACAGTGTGGGTGAAGGGTGTAGGAGAGGGATGCTACTAAAAAAACCCGGACCTGGACCACCCCCACCCGCAACCGCTCGATCAGATTTGCAGATGGAGGCTCCCCCCCACCCAGGGACGTCTGGTGGGCCGAAAACGTTGCGTTTAAAGCGTTCGCAGCCCACTCTCCCAGGGAGAGTCGGGGTGGTAAATTTACGTCCTAATATCTTCCCCCACCTTTCCCGGTGAAGCGTCAGACGCCCTTTAAGAGGGGCTCTACAGTGGGTTTCCACCCCGCAACTAAATTGTGAAGTAGCTGGGACGAAACGGTTGTCTACGTGCAGCTACCCCAGGGTTGCGTATTTAGAATCATCGGTCAGAGGCTTCCACCTTAGCCTTTCGCCTCATATCCATTAACGGCAACTTAAGACTACCAATCAATCAGAGGTAATACCATGAGTAGCTCGGTTAGACGTAATTCTTCCATTAGTTCAGTTTAAAGAAATATCAACATTACTTTAACTATAGGTAATACCACCAATAGCTCAGTAAGAGGTGATGGTTCCATTATTTCATTTGAGGTAATATCAACATGAGCTTAGTTCGAGGTAATATCACCTATGGCTCAGTAAGAGGTACCATACTAATAACAATAGCACATCAAAATATCACTACCCCCAACAGCTCATTTGGAGGTAATGCTGCAAATGGCATACCTAGAGGTAATAGTGCCACACCTCAAACAGAGTTAACACGTATTCGTAGTATTACCAATATACTAATGGTAATCCTTCTAACATATAATTTTAATCATTGACCCTACTAATGACTTAAAACAAACTAGAGGTAACTCTAACAATAGTTGTGCTACAGGTAACACTATTTATAGTTCAGCTAAAGGTAACACCAATAATAGTTCAGTGAAAGGTAATACCAATAATAGTTCAGCTAAAGTTACACTAACAATAGTTGAGCTAGAGGTAACACTTGAGTTGTAGATAGCTTATCAATGGTTTCGTGTGTAACTCATATACAGATGCCTTGACATCCTTCAGATAACAGAAGTGAGCTGCTGAAGATAACGGTGCAATAAGCTCAGGAAGCGTTGTATAGTGTAAGTTTTCTTGGATAAGTATAAACTATAAACTTAGGCCATCTCAGAAAAGAAATTTAATATTCAGTGGTTGTATAGCTGTATAATTTAACCGCATAACAAGTTAAGCTCAGAGCAGTACAAGTAAGCCCAAGAGCTAAACAAGTTAACCTTAGAGCAGCACACGTTAACTTTAGAGCACACAAGTTAGCCTTAGAGCAATAGATGTTAAATTTAAGCAGCAAAGTTGATTTTTAAATAGTTAACCTATACATATTTAGGGTGACTAGAGCAATACAACGGAATGTGTCTGTGTGTCTGTTTGTCTGTCTGCCTTCCTGCCTGCCTGTCTGTCTTTCTGTCTGTCAATACATATACACCATAAGAGAGAGAGAGAATGCGAGAATGAGAGTAAGAGAGAGATAGATAAAGATACTTAGACTTAGAGATGGAAAGAGAGACATAGAGAGATAGAAAGAGAAAGAGAGCAAGAGACAGTGAGAAGGATAGAGACAGGGAGAGAGTGAGAAAGAGATAGGATAAGGGGAGATAGACAGCGGAGGGGGGTGAGAGAAAGTGATAGGAGATAGATGAGGTTATAGAAAGAGCGTGAGGGAGAAAGAGAAAGAAAGAGAAAGGAAAGAGAGAGAGAGAGAGAGAGAGAGAGATCGATAGAGAGAAAGAAAAAGAGTGAGACTGTGAGAGGGGTCGAGAGAGGGAGAGAATGAGAGAGAATGGGAAAGTGGGAGATATGCAGATAGAGTGAGAGAAAGTGATTTAGAGATATATATTAAGATGGGGAGAAAGACAGCATGAGAAAGAGAGAGAATGAGAGAGAGTGTGTGTGTGTGTGAGAGAAAGAGAGAGAGAACTGCTGGTCTCAACTGTCTAGTTTATTTATGTATTAAAACTTTCTGGATAGCAGACTGAACATTTCAAAGACATATTTTAAAACAAACAACCAAACATAATCACAAACATAACCACAAACATAACCACAAACATAACCACATACATAGCCACAGACATTAACCACGGACAAAACCACAAACATAACCACAAACATAACCACAAACATAACCACAACATAACCACAAACATAACCACAAAAACAACCACAGACATAGCCACAGACATAACCACGGACATAACAACAGACATAACCACAAACATAACCAATGACATAACAGCAGACATAACCACAGGCATAGCCACAGACATAACCAATGAAATAACAACAGACATAACCACAAACATAACCAATGACATAACAACAGACATAACCACAAACATAACCAATGACATTACAACAGACATAACCACAGGCATAGCCACAGACATAACCACGGACATAACCACAGACATAACCACGGACATAACCACGGACATAACCACGGACATAACCACGGACATAACCACGGACATAACCACGGACATAACCACGGACATAGCCTCAGACATAGCCTCAGACATAACCACAGACATAACCACGGACATAACCACAGACATAACCACAGACATAACCACAGACATAACCACAGACATAACCACAGACATAACCACAGACATAACCACAGACATAACCACAGACATAACCACAGACATAACCACAGACATAACCACAGACATAGCCTCAGACATAACCACAGACATAACCACAGACATAACCACAGACATAACCACAGACATAGCCTCAGACATAACCACAGACATAACCACAGACATAACCACGGACATAGCCTCAGACATAACCACAGACATAACCACAGACATAGCCTCAGACATAACCACAGACATAACCACAGACATAACCACGGACATAGCCTCAGACATAACCACAGACATAGCCTCAGACATAACCACGGACATAGCCTCAGACATAACCACAGACATAGCCTCAGACATAACCACGGACATAGCCTCAGACATAACCACGGACATAGCCTCAGACATAACCACAGACATAGCCTCAGACATAACCACGGACATAGCCTCAGACATAACCACAGACATAGCCTCAGACATAACCACAGACATAGCCTCAGACATAACCACAGACATAGCCTCAGACATAACCACGGACATAGCCTCAGACATAACCACAGACATAGCCTCAGACATAACCACGGACATAGCCTCAGACATAACCACGGACATAGCCTCAGACATAACCACAGACATAGCCTCAGACATAACCACAGACATAGCCTCAGACATAACCACAGACATAGCCTCAGACATAACCACAGACATAGCCTCAGACATAACCACAGACATAACCACAGACATAACCACAGACATAACCACAGACATAACCACAGACATAACCACAGACATAACCACAGACATAACCACAGACATAACCACAGACATAACCACGGACATAACCACAGACATAGCCTCAGACATAACCACAGACATAACCACAGACATAGCCTCAGACATAACTACAGACATAACCACAGACATAACCACGGACATAACCACAGACATAGCCTCAGACATAACCACAGACATAACCTCAGACATAGCCTCAGACATAACTACAGACATAACCACAGACATAACCACAGACATAACCACAGACATAACCACGGATATAACCACAGACATAGCCTCAGACATAACCACGGACATAACCACAGACATAGCCACTGACATAACCACAGACATAACCACAAACATAACCAGGGAAATAACCACAGACATAACCACATACACAACCAGAAACATAAACACAAACATAACCAAAGACAGAACCATAATCATAACCACAGACACATCCACAAACATAACCACTTAAACAACCACAGACATAAACACAGACATAACCACAAACATAACCACATACACAATCACAAACATAACCACAAACATAACCAAACATAACGACAAACATAACCAAATACACAAACACAAACATAAACACAAACATAACCACATACACAATCAAAAACATAACCACAAACATAACCACAAACATAACCACAAACATAACCACAAACATAACCACAAAAATATCCACAAACATAACCGCAGACTTAGCCACAGACATAACCACGGACATAACCACAGACATAGCCACAAACATAACTATAGACATTACCACAGACATAACCGCAAACATAACCACATAAATAACCACAAACATAAACACAGACATAACCGCAAACATAACCACACACATAACCACAGACATAACCACAGACATAACCACAAGCATAACCCCAGACATAACCACAGACATAACCGCAAACATAACCATAGACATATCCATAGACATAACCAAAGACATAACCACATACATAACCATCGACATAACCACAGACATAACCACAGACATAACCACTGACATAACCACAGACATAACCACAGACATAACCATAGACATATCAACAGACATAACCACAGACATAACCACAAACATAACCATAGACATAACCACAGACATAAACACAGACATAACCACAGGCATAACCACTGACATAACCACAAACGTAACCATAGACATAACCACAGACATAACCACAGACATAACCACAGACATAACCACAGACATAACCACAGACATAACCATAAACATGACTACCGGCAAAACCACAAACATGACCAGAAACATGACCACGAACATAACCACGAATTCGACCACAAATATAACCCCAAATTTGACCACAAACATAATGACATACATAATTTCACAGATAGTTAATAGGCTCTTACACATTGGTTGCTTAATGCAACGCAGTCAATAAACAAAATATTTATTTAGTAAGGGAAGCAGCTTGCCTTATCATACCAACTGCTTTCCACTAACCACTGGCCACTCGCAAAACAAAGAGAGGAAACCTACATAGCTGGAAACCGTATCACATGATTATCTTAAGTTGTGGTTTTATCCCGGCAGACAAGAGACAGAGCCCCCTACTGGATGTGTTTGTTTTTCCTGTATAATTGTGTAGTTAGTGACCCTGAGACGGTGGAAAGAGAACCTGGCCTAGTCAGAAAGGTGTGTTTTTGTGTAGAGTTGAATACTATTGTGTATCACATACATTATTTACAGGATACGAAAGCTATATGTTACATTTGTGTATTACATACAACATCCACAGGACGGGTAGGTTATATGCTACATTTTTTTATTACATACAACATCTATAGGACGGGTAGGCTATAGGCTACATTTTTGTATCGCATACAACAACTACATGACGGGTAGGTTATATGCTACTTTTGTATCACATACAACAACTACATGACGGGTAGGTTATATGCTACTTTTGTATCACATACAACAACTACATGACGGGTAGGTTATATGCTACTTTTGTATCACATACAACAACTACATGACGGGTAGGTTAAATAATACATTTTTGTATCACATACAACATCTAAAGGACAGGTAGGTTATATGCTACATTTTTGTATCACATACAATATCTACATGACGGTTAGGTTATATGCTACATTTTTGTATTACATACAACATCTATCGGACGGGTAGGTTTTATGTTACATTTTTGTATCACATAAAACGTCTATAGGACGGGTAGGTTATATGTTACATTTATGTATGACATACACCATCTATGGAACGGGAAGGTTATAAGTCATTTATGTGAATCACATACAACATCTAAGGGCTGGTATGTTTTATGCTCCATTAGTCTGTCACATACATCAACAAGACTTGTAGGTTATATATTTTATTATAATACACCATCTCATATTTTAACATCTAACTTCACATCATACACAACATCATACACCACATCATGCATCACATCATGCACCACATCACACAACATCATATACCACATCATATACAACATCATGGAAAACACCATCCACCACATCAAACACAACAAAATATACCAGACCAAACACCACATCATACACAACATCATTCACCACATCAAACGCAAAATTTTATACCACATCATACACTAATGCATCAATTCAAAAATATAAGAGATTTTTCAAGTTTAAATAACAATTTCTCCTGTGTTGTAAGGCTAATCTGTTCATTTAAAAATACATTTTGAAAATAAAAAAAAACAACCCGTAAAGCACCTCAATACAGAAAGCTGAATAAAATCTTTTATAAACTGTGTCAGAGTAAAAAAAAAAAAAATTAAAAAATTCTGTGCATGGTTACGGATCGGGAATTTCCCCAGGAAAATCTGACAGCTGTTTTCCAGGAAAAGCGTGGTACGTTTGAGCTCAACCTGGAAAGTTGCTGCGACGAGCCTAGGTTGTCTGTCAAGGTGGGGACTTGCGGGCCTCGTCGTGTCACAGTTTGCCAGCAGGCGTAACTGACATTCAAAACATTTTTTTTTTCCTTCTTATTTCCACCAGTGCAAGTGGTGTGCTCGGTACCGACGTGATGTGACTACGTAAGTAGAGTTTGTGTGACTGTAGCATGCGATGATTGTATAGTCTTTAAGTTTTGATTTGTAACGACACCACGACAGATGTTACGATAGTGATTACAAACTATAAAACTAATCGATATTATAAGGTTGTAACATGGTTACACCGCGTTTCAAGTAACGACTTAGCCGGCTGGGTACTTAGGATGTGATAGATCAGCTCAGGGCTCCTCAAACTTGGTAATCAATGAGGAGGTAGGGGGGGGGCGCAGCTCGTTATCCCTCATATCGGACTATAGTTTCAAAATATATGAATGAATTCCTATTCACGTTGCTTATACATTATTTTAGTAGGGAAGGGAGAGGGAAAATAGGAAAACTAACAAGCTACAATGTTACGGGAGCCTTATGTTGCCATGGGAGCCTTATGTTGCCTTATGGAAACCTTATGTTGCTTTATGGGAACCTTATTTTGCCTAATGGAGACCTTATGTTGCCTTATGTGAGCCTTATTGTGCCTTATGAGAGCTTTATGTTGCCTTATGGGAGCCTTATGTTGCCTTATTGGAGCCTACTGTTGTACACATATAAAAAAGGAGGGCTAAGAAACTGCAAACATAAGTCCAATGTTGTTTTTTCCAACCCATTTTTGTTTCAAAATGCACGCTTTTCTAATGACTTTTCTCAAAATTTGTTTGAAATTCCCTTTCGAGAATAATTACATCGTCGAGGATTAAATATTGTAAGGAAACCTTGCTTACTCTCTGATAAACTTCATCTAGATCTGGTACTCAATAAGGAAACAACTCAGGCGATAACAATTGATGATTATAGTCTTGTTCTTTATTAGGCTGATACTTCGCTTATACTTTCTCTCATCTCGCAACTCTGACTGCCCTCTTCTCTCATACCGTCCGAGTTCTCCCTGCTATCTGCTTCTCTGTCCGGCCCCTTCTCTTTTTCGTCCCGTCCAGAGATCCCTATGTATACCTCCCTGTCCCATAGTTCCTCTCCCAGTCCAGATTATACCCCGCCCCTTTTTCTCAATTGGCGCCAAGTTACAAACAGACCCCAGGGAAATGCCCTGGTCAGATGGATGGCCGGTACCGCCCCCAGCGCTTGATCCTTCGGTCGTGTCTGGGTGGTCAGACGGCCGTAATCCCTGGTCAGGCGCCCCAGCGCTTGATCCTTCGGTCGTGTCTGCGTGGTCAGACGGCCGTAATCCCTGGTCAGGCGCCGTCGTGGTCCGAACTCTCCACAATATTTATACAAAAATAACAGAGTCCCGGTGATTGAGTTGATGCTTCAGAAATATTTGACCACAACATTTTAAATCATATAATTTTGTTAAAAATTAAATAAATATTCGGTTTCAAATCATGAAACTTTTATTCCTCCCCCCACCCCCGAAATTGTCAATAACATAAATCTAGAATTTAAAAAAAATACATTTTGGTCTTATTTACAAACACATTTAAGTTATGGCCCTGGGGTGGGGTAATATGATATATTTTTTTAAATGTTAAGACAAAAAGAAGTTAGCACTGTTTTCAAGTTTTCTAATAAAAACTGACTGATTCCTGACTATCATACAGCCCAAAATACATAATTGGTACGCTGTCCGAAAACTCTTTCATTTCTAAGTCATTAGTTATTATTTAAGACACTGTGACTACAAGATATAAAATAATCCTTATATTCAATAAAACGTTTAAAGTTTGTCCTTAAAAACAAAATCATATCTCGACAACCGAAATCTTCCTAATGAATGAATGCTACAATGTACCCATAACTTGTCTGATATGACCAGAAATTCTTCCTAGCAAGACGTCGTATTTCGACTGAGGAAGACTGTCTAATCAGACTCTCCTTCCTATTACAGAACCCCAAATCCTCTCACATCCCCTCACAGTACCTCACATTCCCTCACAGTACCACACACCACCTAACAGCAACCCACATCCCTTCACAGTACCCCACATCAACTCACAGTATACCAAATCCTCTCACATCTTCTCACAGTACCTCACATCCACTTACAGTACTCCACATCCCCTCACAGTACCTCACATCTCCTAACAGTACCCTATATCCCCTCACAGTACCCTACATGCCCTCACAGTACCTAATATCCACTCACAGTACCCACATCCCCTAACAGAACCCCACAACCCCTCACAGTACCTCACATCCCCTAACAGTACCTCACATCCCCTTACAGTACATCACATCCCCGCACAGTACACCACATTCCCTTACAGTACACCAATTCCTTAATAGTACAACACATTCCATTATAGTACACCACAATCCCTTACAGTATATCCCATTCCCTTACATTACAGAACATTCCCTTACAGTACACCACATCCCCTTACAGTATATCACATTCCCTTACCGTACATCACATTCCCTTACAATACACCACATTGCCCGACAGTACTCCACATCCATTTGCAGTACATCACATTCCCTTACAGTACACTACATTCCCTTACAGTACATCACATAGCCTCACAGTACAACAGATCCCCTTACAGTAAATCACATTCCCTTACAGTACATCCATTCCCTTACAGTACACCACATCTCCTTAGATTATATCACATTCACTTACAGTACATCACATCCCCTTACAGTACACCACATCGCTTCACAGTACACCACATCCCCTTGCAGTACATCACATTCCCTTACAGTACATCACATTCTCTTACAATACATCACATTCCCTTACAGTACACCACATCCCCTTAGATAACATCACATTCACTTACAGTACATCACATCGCTTCACAGTACACCACATTTCCTTACAGTACATCACATTCCCTTACAGTATATCACATTCTCTTACAGTACATCACATTCCCTTAAAGTACACCACATCGCTTCACAGTACACCACACCCCCTTACAGCACATAAGATTCCTTATAGTGCATAACATTCCCTTACAGTACACCCCAATCCCTTACAGTATATCCATTTCCCTTACAGTACATCACATTCCCTTACAGTACACCACATTGCCTCACAGTACTCCACATCCCATTACAGTACATCACATTCCCTTACGACCCATCACATCCCCTCACAGTACCCCACATACCTTCACAGTACCCCACATCTTCTCACAGTACCCCACATCCCTTCACAGTACACACATCCCCACACAGTACATAACTTCCAGTAACAGTACCCCACATCCCCTCACAGTACCCCACATCCCCTCACAGTACCTCACATCCACTAACAGTACCCCACACCCCCTCACAGTACCTCCCATCCAATAACAATACCCCACATCCCCTGTACCTCACATCCACTCACAGTACCCCACATCCCCTCACAGTACCTCGCATCCCATAACAGTACCCCACATCCCCTCACAGTGCATCACATCCAATAACAGTACCCCACATCCCCTCACAGTACCTCGCATCCAATAACAGTACCCCACATAACCTCACAATACCCCAAATCAACTCACAGTACATCACTTCCAATAATAGTACCCCCACATCCCCTCACAGTACCCCACATCCACTCACAGTACCAGCTTCCCCTCACAGTACCCACTTCCCCTCACAGTACCCCACATCCCCTCACAACACCCACATCCCCTCACAGTACCCACTTGCCCTCACAGTACATCAAATGCCCTTACAGTATCCCATATCCCCTCAAAGTACCTCACATGCCCCAAAAGTACCTCTTGTCCTATCTTAGCACCACACATCCCCTCACAATACCACATATTACCACACAAACCTATACATTTCTTTACATTAATGCCATTTCATTTCTACTTTTAGCATCCACTTATGTACTTCCGCAGCCACTTACTGGGGCCGCGAACCGACATTTGAGAATCAGTAGTTAAAAGGGGAATCAACGTGATTAAGATTAAATTAGTAGTGTTTTTCATTGGGAATTAGACTCTTGTATTTGCGATAAATAGAGGGTCAGTCCTCTCTGTCCATATTGCATATTAGCCACTGCCACCCGTGTACCCGTAAAGCAACCAGGCGGTGGGATTAAGGGATGCTGGCTGGCCGTTGTGGCATGTGGGACGTATTTTGAGGACCCCTGAATTAGATTACAAATGATTTTTAGCAAAGAATCAAAAGATGCACAGTTAAACCAAATGACAGTAAAAACTGCGAACTGAAAAAAAAAAAAAAAAAAATTAATAACTGCCCATGTCAATTTTTTCCCATCTTTTTTTAGACCAGTGGTTCTCAACCTATGTGTCATGACGCCTGTGATGGGCAAGCGAACCTTACACAGGGGTTGCCTAATTACCACCGGAAAGCAAATTTTCATGACATAGCAATGAAAATAATTTTAAGCTTGGGGTCACCACAACATGAGGAACTGTATTAATGGATGGCGGCATAGGGGACGTTGAGAACCACTGTTTTTGACGCATGTTTAGCAAATTACGTTCGTTTAAAGTATTCGTGACTTAATCTAGTATGTGAGACATATTTTGATCTCATAACGACTTTAAGGAACAATTATCAAATAACAAAAGAAGAGACTCATCACGTTATGTTTCCAGGTTATAATTAAAATATTTTTTTTTCCTTTCCATTAACTATTTTTTTAAAGAAACCCTATACATTTATGTTTCTTTGGAATGTTATCTAATATTACTATATACATAATATATGCCGTATATATGTTACATAACATTCCATAGAAATATTATTATTTTTGGATGGAATGTATAATAACATTTCTCTTGAATATTGTTATATTTCAATGGATTTTTTGGGTATATTTCTATGGAAGATTATGTTGTATTTCAATTGGACACTATGTTATATTGCTACTGATTATTATGTTATATTTCTAGTTACAGCCTAAGAACAATGCCGGGCGCTAAAACTTTATTGTTCGTGGGACGAACGCGAAATGGCAAAAGTTCAACCGCAAACTCTCTTATTGGGGAAAAATTCTTTACCACAAAAAAAGATGACGCTAGTGTAAAGGAAAAGACTGTGGTGATTGAAGGTTCAAAGGTCACAGTGGTAGATGGAACTGATATTGGAGACACTGGATCTGACATGAATGGATATCTACAAGACATAGTACAAAAAGCTGAGACTGCCGTCCAACTCTGTGAGTCTGGTTTCAATGCTCTCATCTTTGTTATGACTTACGGTACAAGGTTCACCAAACAGGAGAAAGACTCTGTGGATCTGATCAAGTCATTGTTTGGTAGGGACATCTTCAGACGTTTTGGTATCATCGTCATGACACGTGGTGACCAGTTTGAGATGGACACAGAGGATGACCCTAAGACATTTGACCAGTGGTGCAAGGAACAAACTGGCGATATAAAAATTCTTTTCAAAGAATGTGACTACAGAATTGTGATCTTTAATAACAGATCGTCCAACACTGAGACACTAATTAGACAAAGACAAAAGTTACTGAGTCTTGTTCCTAATACAAATAAATACTCATTAGAAGACTTTAATGAGGCTAGCAATGATCGCCAGAAACTATTAATAAGTCATTCCTTTTTGGAAGCAGAGAAACAAAACAAATATTTTCTTGAAGACACTGACCAACAAATAAATCGTATCATGTCCACGAAAGAAACCAAGCGACGCCATGGGATGTTGACAAATATTCAGGCAGATTTACACAAACAAATGGAAACAGTTCAAAAAGCCTTTGAAGGATCACAGTATTACAATTTACTATGGACACCTTTACAGGCAAGGCTTCTCAACGTCATGACTCAGCTGCGGATAATAGACGGTGGTCGGAGTGAAAATACAGGATCCGAAAATGTTATTAAAAGGCATAGAGGTGATAAGACCAACAGCCAACCATTTCGAAGACTTCCTGTGCCGTTACGGGAAATCTCCAAAACAATTCCACCATCAGGTAATACATCTACTACCATTGACAATGCATATTATCCTCAATCTCCCCAAATGTTACAATCAGCAAGTGTTCCTGTGAAGCATACAATTTTATTGCTGGTTGGACGATCGGGAAGTGGTAAAAGTTCAACTGCCAATTCTATTATAGCGAAACAATTATTTGGCAAAAACGGAGACGGGTTAAGTTTACAAAACAATACCGTTAATATTGAAGGTTCAAAGGTCACCGTGGTAGATGGCACAGGTATTGGCGACTCTGGATCTGATATGAATGGAGCTATACAAGACACAATACAAAAAGCTGAGACTGCCGTCCAACTCTGTGAGTCTGGTTTCAATGCTCTCATCTTTGTTATGGCTTACGGTACAAGGTACACCAAACAGGAGAAAGACGCCGTAGATCTGATCAAGTCATTGTTTGGTAGGGACATCTTCAGACGTTTTGGTATCATCGTCATGACACGTGGTGACCAGTTTGAGATGGACACAGAAGATGACCACAGGACATTTAACCAGTGGTGCGAGGAACAAACTGGGGATATTAGAATTCTTTTCCAAGAATGTGACTACAGGATTGTCATGTTCAATAACAGATCGTCCAATATTGATACACTTATTAGACAAAGACAAAACTTACTGAGTCTTGTTCCTAATACAAATAAATACTCATTAGAAAACTTTAATGAGGCTAGCAATGATCGCCAGAAACTATTAATAAGTCATTCCTTTTTGGAAGCAGAGAAACAAAACAAATATTTTCTTGAAGACACTGACCAACAAATAAATCGTATCATGTCCACGAAAGAAACCAAGCGACGCCATGGGATGTTGACAAATATTCAGGCAGATTTACACAAACAAATGGAAACAGTTCAAAAAGCCTTTGAAGGATCACAGTATTACAATTTACTATGGACACCTTTACAGACAAGGCTTCTAAAAGTTAGATCTCAGCTCCAGATATTAGAAGGTGATTGGAGTGAAAATACAAGAGTCGACAAGGATAATACACATTATGGCCTTCAATCTACATCCATTGATGGCCCATATTATTCTTACTCACCCCAAACATTACCACCAGTAATTCATCTTGTCAAGGATACAGTTTTATTGTTGGTTGGACGAACTGGAAGTGGTAAAAGTTCAACTGCCAACTCTATCATAGGGAACAAATTATTCGGTGAAAAAGCAGAATTAAGTGTACTACAGAAATATGCCGTTGATATTGAAGACTCAAAGGTCACAGTGGTAGATGGAACAGGTATTGGTGACACTGGATCTGATATGGATGGAGATATAAAAAACACAATACAAAAAGCTGAGACTGCCGTCCAACTCTGTGAGTCTGGTTTCAATGCTCTCATCTTTGTTATGACTTACGGCACAAGGTTCACCAAAAAGGAGAAAGACGCTGTGGATCTGATCAAGTCATTGTTTGGTAGGGACATCTTCAGACGTTTTGGTGTCATTGTCATGACACGTGGTGACCAGTTTGAGATCGACATGGAAATTGATGACATCCCATTCGACCATTGGATCAAAACGCAGACTGGAGATTTTAAAAATCTGTTTGACGAATGTCATTATAAATGCGTGCTGTTTGATAACAAGAAAATAGACAGTGCAAAACTCTCTAAACAACGTAAATTTCTTTTGTCCCATATTTCTATTTTCAATAAATATACTCTTCAAGACTTTCAAAAGCAAAACAAAGGTCACGAAGACCTTATCCTTCACACCAAATTCCAAGAAAAGGAGAAAGAAATTCAAAATATTGTTAGAAAAATTGAGAAAATTCTGAAGGATATTGATCATAAGGGCGGCAGAAAAAATCAAAAGAAGATTCTACAAGAATTTTGCCTTCATCTTGAGAAGCAGAAAGAAGATAGTAATCAAGAGTTTAAGGATTCAATATATTTGCAAAAACTTATTGCACCATTGCATGACACTCAGTTAAATCTTGAGGCAAAAATACTACAACTTGAGTTGACAGGACAATCTAAAGGATATAGCTCGGGAGTTGAAAATGAAAATGACATAAACAAAAAGCTGCAAAAAATTGGCCCAACACCTAACACAAGCTCAACGTTACCACGGGAAGAAGCAATTGATGTAGCTCTGCAACCGAATAACCAGGCCTACGTTATGGCCATCACGTCACAAGAGACACGTTCAGAGGCTCAACGAGTTATTTCTCTCCGTAGACAAGATAAAGTTATTTTATTGGTTGGACGCACTGGAAATGGTAAAAGTTCTACAGCAAATTCCATCGTTGGAGAACAACTTTTTGGTACAAAAAAAGATGACTTTAGTATCAATAAAAGTAATATGAAAATTGAAGGGTCAAAGGTCACAGTGGTAGATGGTACGGGTATTGGTGACACTGGATCTGATATGAATGGCAATCTACAAGACACAATACAAAAAGCTGAGCATGCCGTCCAACTCTGTGAGTCTGGTTTCAATGCTATCATCTTTGTTATGACTTACGGTACAAGGTTCACCAAACAGGAGAAAGACGCTGTGGATCTGATCAAGTCATTGTTTGGTAGGGACATCTTCAGACGTTTTGGTATCATCGTCATGACACGTGGTGACCAGTTTGAGATGGACACAGAGGATGACCACCAGTCATTTGACCAGTGGTGCGAGGAACAAACCGGATCTATCAAAGATTTATTCGTAGAATGTGACTACAGAAAGGTGATCTTCAACAACAGATCAAATAACAAGGATACAATAAAAAGACAACGACGAGATCTACTTGACCTTGTTGATGAAACTATTAAATATTCAAAAGACGATTTCAAACTGGCCAGCAATGACCGAAAAAAACTTTTAATAGCTCATGACTTTAAAGAAACTGACAAAAAAAACCAAACGTTTATTCACCATATTGACCAAATGTTAGCTCAAACTGAATCACAAAAAGACGTCAAGAGAAGCTATGCGATGTTATCAGACTTACTTACAGAATTAGAGGAACGAATAAAAAGTATAGAAGCATATTTTAGAGGAACTGAATATATCCTGTTACTGTTGACCCCTTTACAGACCAGAGTCGGTAATGTTAATTCAAAGATGCGAAAATTAAATGGAATCCGACCCGAGCCATCCGTTCAACAAATACATTCTGTTGTCAAGGATACGGTTTTGTTGTTTGTTGGGCGTACAGGAAATGGTAAAAGTTCAACCGTCAATTCTCTCATCGGGGAAAGATTCTTTGCCACAAGAAATGATGACAGAAGTGTAAAGAAGAAGACCTTTGAATTTGAAGGGTCAAAGATCACTGTGGTAGATGGCACAGGAATTGGCGACACTGGATCTGATATGAATGGAGATTTACAAGACACAATACGAAAAGCTGAGACTGCCGTCCAACTCTGTGAGTCTGGTTTCAATGCTCTCATCTTTGTTATGACTTACGGTACAAGGTTCACCAAACAAGAGAAAGACGCTGTGGATCTGATCAAGTCATTGTTTGGTAGGGACATCTTCAGACGTTTTGGTATCATCGTCATGACACGTGGGGACCAGTTTGAGATGGACACAGAGGATGACCCCAAGACATTTGACCAGTGGTGCAAGGAACAAACCGGAGACATTAGAAGTCTTTTCAAAGAATGTCAGCATAAAAAAGTGCTCTTTAACAACAGATCACCTAACAGGGACACACTTTATAGACAACGACAAGATCTACTGAATCTTGTTCCTGATACTAAGAAATACTCAACTGAAGACTTCAAACTGGCCAGCGGGGATCGCCATAATTTATTATTAAAACAGAGCTCTTCCAACCTTTGGGGGCCCCCCTCAAGTAGGGAACGCCATCTGCCAAGCCATTTACCAATCCATCCGCCAAGCCATACAACAAGCCATCCGCCAAGCTATCTGCCAGTCATCACGCAGCAACCAAGACCACTGCCACAACCGAAGCCTCCCAAAACACATGCCAAAAATGCTTCTGATCGTAATCGATCATATTGTTGCAAATGTTAAAGAGTTCATTCTTTGCCAGTGCTTGAAGACCTAATCTTGCCAGTGTTTGAAGACCTTATCTTGCCAGTGTTTGAAGACCTTATTTTGCCAGTGTTTAAAGACCTTATTTTGCCAGTGTTTGAAGACCTTATCTTGCCAGTGTTTGAAGACCTTATTTTGCCAGTGTTTAAAGACCTTATTTTGCCAGTGTTTGAAGACCTTATTTTGCCAGTGTTCGAAGACGTTTGGTTGCCAGTGTTTTAGGATTTTTTGTTGCCAGTGTTTGGAGACCTTTTGTTGCAACTGTTGGAAGACATTTGTTGCAAATGTATTTTTATTATTATTACATATTATTACAGTTGTCTTAAAAAGCGTGGTATTTCAGCATATAAACCAATTCTACTTGAGAATTTCATTATACTAGTTCAATTTTATAATTCCTTCAGAAAAGTAAACATGGAATTTAAAAAAAAATAAAAAATTCAAAGCACCTTTAGGACACTATTGGAGTTTTTAAATGTTAAAAATTTGAAGTGGGTCTCAAAGGGTTAACATTGTGTTCTTATTTTTTTTTTCTACCTACTATATTTTCAGCATCTACCAATTGCCTTAATGCGCAAAAGGTGTCGACTACTTATTGATTGAATTGTTGAACGTCAAATTAATTTTTATTTATGATATAATGGCTGCTATAAGAATGCCATTATGTATTTTAAAATATTCTTCTAACCAATAAAAGAAATACATTAAAAAAAATATGTTTTCTCTTTAAAAAAATAAATATAATGCATATATATTTTTAACTAACAGGCATCAGGTTTTCAATATTCTCAAGGAGGTATTCTGAGTACATATTATTTATTGCGAAACGTTGGGGATCACTGAACGAGACAATTGCCAGCCTGTATATAACATTATGAATATCTTTCTTATTTAGTTGATAACATTTCAAGAGATGAATCAATAAAAAATGGGCACTTGAAATGGCTGCATTGCTTTTCAACCATACGCTTACCGATATTGTAATACACACATTTCATTATCAATAAAATCAAAGAAAAAACTGTAACTACATGTGTCTTCCATTCATTTGTTAAACCGGTTTTCGGCTGTGTTATCATTTTTTTTTCTCCAGAAATCCGAAGGTAGTTTCCTAACAGGTGTATCTCTGTTACGATATACATGTCATGAAATACATGTCATCAGTTTCTCATGCATTTTCCTACAATAATTAGTGGTGATTTCTTTGTTCATGCTACCCAATAAAGTCATAATTCTTCCTCTGTTTTCTGCCTGTCTCAAATTTCGCCTACGTCCTCAGCCCCCAGCCCCCCCCCCTTATATCTTTATCCTTTACCCCCCCCCCCCCCCCCCCCCCCATTTTTTAACTCCCCGCCCCCTTTCCCCCCCCCCCCCAAACCACCACCCTAAACCAACTTTCTTGCCACTTAACGCTTGACTGGCCAGGAAGAGTGTTTAAAATGTGTGAAGTGTTGGGTTCCAAGCAAATACGTCACAGGATGACAAGCCGATAAAAGATGTTTACGGAACACCTCTAAGCCAGTGACACGTGACAGTCAAGGCCATTTGACATAAGAAAGTCGAACTCGAGGTTTTCCTCGGAAAATTAGAAAATTAATTTTTTTAAAATTTCTTTGCTCAAATAATTTTTACGTCATTGAAAAAAAAAATAAAAAAAACAACAAACAAACTAGAGGGTTGTCTCACAACGGGTGTTATGAAGGTGTTTTCGATTCAGACTTGTCATAAGAAGCTATTTTGACGTAGAAGTTGTCAGTACAGCACAGCACCTCCCTGTGCTATGGACTTTGGGTTGAGACGGACGAAAGCCCATCGAAACGTACATGATCCAGAACAACTCCAGATGTGAAAGAGATGGTACTGAAATGTATGTTGATTACTCGACATACGAGGTTATTCAGTTAGAGGGCCTAACTCTACCACTGACTCTAGGCTGTCACTAGAGCTGACTACCACTGTTCATGGACTTTCACTAGGTCTGACTGTAACTGGCTGATTGTCAACTGTCCCTAGTTCTGACCACCGCTGATTTTCAACTGTCCCCCAGGTCTGGCTATCACTGACTAACAGGTCACTGATCCTATGTCTGTCCATCTGTTACTAACTGCCGACAGTCTCTAAGTCAACTAACTGTGCGTCCACGTCGCCTACGTCAACACATCTCAACAACATGTCTTTTTCAAACCAAAAGTTGTATACCACCTGATATTCCATTCTATACACCCTAGGTCAGTAAAATCATTAGTCAAAAGAGCCAAAAATCAGCAGCAGAAAGATTTAAAAAATTTTTGAGAGACAAAATTCTTTTCAAGAACCTGTCAAGCACCATGTTTTTTCAGAGTCAAAACCAATACTGGCCGACTGGCCGAGCCGCACTCAGGTCGCTAAAGAGCCGCATGCGGCTCGCGATCCGCGATTTTCTGAGCACTACGTGGCTCAGTCATGTCTCAATTTATTAACAGAACGTTGAATTCTCTTTTCCCCATGATTATGTATTGTCTTCGTTACCCTAACAATTTGCATACAATCCCTTCTATCCAAAGATGTGACAATCTGTTAACTCTGACCTTAAACCTCACCGCCCCAAAATTTCATACATGAACGGCCGTCTTACCAGGTATCCAACCTCTACAGTCACGGTCTATCTAAGCAACAATGGGTCTTCATTCTATAGCTCCCCCCCCCCCCAGCGGCGTTGGAAGGGGGTTTACGGATCTGTGTGGAAGGGGGGGGGTCACCTTGGGTGTCTTTTTCCCCTTTATATAAAAAAGACGGCTTTTTCGACCATTGCAGGGTTTTTTCGTGGAAAAGGGGGGGGGGGGGGAATGGTTTACGGATCTGTGTGGAAGGGGGGGGGTCACCTTGGGTGTCTTTTTCCCCTTTATATAAAAAAGACGGCTTTTTCGACCATTGCAGGGTTTTTTCGTGGAAAAGGGAGGGGGGGGGAAATCTTGGACCACCCCTGGTGATACTAACCCTAGCTATGACAATGCTCCGTCCCAAGCAGCCAGCTATGTAAAAATGACCGTTATTTGGACCACATGATTGTGCATTTTTAAACTACCGCACCGCCAAGTCCCTACTATTACTTCCTCGACGGCAAGAGTCCCTCGATTTGTTTGCCATATGATTGGTAGGCCCTATATGTAACTGTGTATGTGTGTCACCACTCACCGTAGAAACGTTAGCTTTTTTTTTTTGGTTTTTGTATCCTATTTTTTAAAATAGCTTTTAAAAATAAATTTCAAATAGCATACATATTTTGGAACTAGTAATTGCGTGATACTTTATTTTCTTCATTTTATTACACACAAAGTAATCAATAACATGTTTAAGCTTAATGGATTTTTCTCACCAGCTGCCACCAGGCAGTTGAATGACTCGTAATGCGTTATCATTCACTGATATTGACTGCATTTATAGCTTGAAACAAAAAAAATGGAAGGAACGGGTGGACCGTATAGCGTTATAAGTGAGTAGATGATTTTTTCGTGTGCGGATTCACAATATCAGCGGGATGTCAACATCTCAATGCAGACAAACTTTAATGAATAAATGGTTTCAAACAAAACACATTACAGTCAACAAAGACATTATCACCACAAACACTTTGTTGGTAATTCTGAGAACCTCACATTGATCCAGGTTCCCGAGAAATTGTATGTTAAAATTTCTTGAAAAACCCCAGTAGGAAAGCGCCATGAAGTGCAGCGATATTTAATATCTCCGCACAAGCAGCTGCACGTATCGTCACGTCTTACTTTGTAACTGTGAAACTAAATGAATTTCCTGGGGAAAAGTCTCTTCATTTCAATGGGATCAGGCTTAGGCGACGTTTTACCTTGTCGGAATGAAACCTTTGGATACCTCTGGCAACCCATGACACACATACACACAGACATACACGATATATACATTATATGACTACATGTAACACTAAAAGAAAGGCCCAAAGAGGGCGGCTTAATCTCCCTTAAAACCATCTCTGTGTAACCCCCCCTCCCCAATTCCCGCTGTTTTGACGAACTGCATGAGTGATTGTTCAGCCATCTGGATGAGAATTTAAACGTGGGCACCTAGTCTGTAGATACGACCTTAAGAGGTCTACAAGTGATATTGAGGTCTTTTTGTTTTGGTGTTTAAAGGTCTTTTCACAGACAGCCACAAATGGTTTGGTTGGAGAGCTGTTCGACGTATTTTAAATGTTTCAGCGTATTGCTTCTAATTTTGTGCTATCTCTTATCTAACACTTGAAGCATTGGCTATTTTTAAAGACAATGTGTATGCAGGGGTTACCAGAAATTTGATCGAAAGAAATTTCGTCGACGGGAAAATGATCGACGGAAATTTGATAGAACGGAAATTTGGTCAAATTTTTTTTTTTCACTTCAGACGTTAAAATTTGGCTTTAAATTTCTATTTGATCGCATTATACTATAAAGTAAAAGAAAATAATGCGTTCAAAAAGAAATTTAAAGCCAAATTTTGATGTGTGAACCAAAGGATAGCAATCCTTAGAGGCAACGTCTCACGTCTACGGTTGATGATGGAGGACATTGAAACCAAAAAAAAAACAAAAAAAGTAAAACTGCCTGACTCAGCATAGAAAGGCATCACCCTCGCGTCAAAGCCTCCGATACAAACCAATTAATTTATATATACAACTTTCACTCGATTGTTCCATGAATAATTTCAAGGTTTAAAAAAAAATAATAATTAAGGATAGGGGAAAGGATTTGAGACGCCCTGACCTAGGTCATACCGTACAGTTTCCAGTGGAGTTGGGATTTGTAGAATCCGTGAAGTAGTTTGATAGTGTGTGTAACCTGATACAACATGTAAAAATAACACAACAAAACTGATGTTTTGAAATAGCTCCTAGCGACACGCATTGAGCGTACATTGCATTTTCTAAGGAAACCCGATTTCCAGGTAGATACATTTTTGAGAGAAAAACTGAACTAGGAAAATATTATATTGTATACGCGGGGAGCTCTTCTTTGTGTGTTCTTTGGGTAACAGCAAGCGTCAGTATCTTGAGTTTTCTAAAATTGTATACCTAACAGTTGAATACCTAAAAGTTGTATACCAAACAGTTGTATACCTAACTGTTGTATACCTAACAGTTGTTTACCTAACAGTTGTATATCTAACATTTGTATACCTAACAGTTGTATATCTAACATTTGTATACCTAACATTTGTATATCTAACATTTGTATACCTAACAGTTGTATACCGGTACCTAACATTTGTATACCTAACAGTTGTATCCCGAACAGTTGTATCCGAACAGTTGTTTACCGGTATCTAACAGTTGAATAACTAACCGTTGTATACCTTACAGTTGTATACCTTACATTTGTATACCTCACAGTTGTATGTCTAACAGTTGTATACCTCACAGTTGTATGCCTAACAGTTGTATACCTCACAGTTGTATACCTCACAGTTGTATGCCTAATATTTGAATACCAAACAGTTGAATCCCTTATACCAAACAGTTGAATACTTAAGAAATGTATACCTAAAACTTTTATACTTAGCACTTACATATCTAGCACTTGTGTAACTTACACGTGTATATCTTACATTTGTATACCTTTACAGGCGTAGAGCAACGTTGGCGCTGCTTTCAATTTTTTCATAAGTGTAAAGTTAACGACATGGTGGACCACTGGAGGAGTAAGGAGTACTCAGGGGGGCATCTCGCCCCGGGCGGCTATTTTTTCTTCAATTTAAAAAGGGGGGGGGGATTTTCGGACATATGCAGACTCTTTTTCTTGTAAGGGGCTGCCAAAATTCTTGTCCCGCCCTGGGTGCCACAAAGCCTAGCTACACCACTGCATACAACTTCAACAGTGTCACGGATAGTTCCTAAATAATCTATATACAGAATAAATAATTATGAGAAAGGGATTATGTTCAAAAGATTATGTACGTAGACATAGACATACCCTGCCAATGCATTTACTAAAATAGCTTGACAAAACATACATTCACATTAACTCAAATGATCTGTGCAACCGGGTGTGCTGATGGACAGTAACTGCCAGGAAATTTGAAAGGGAACTATTTCTCGCAACATTATCGTTTTTAGACTTTGTAATTAGCGAGATTCCATTTACACATTTGAGATAGCCGAATAAATATTTGGTTGAGCTAGAACAGCGGTTCTAAATCTGTGGGACCCGACCCCATTTGGGAGTCGAATGACCCTTACAAAGGGGTCGTCTAAGACCATGGGAAAACACATATTTTTTTCCTTTTCCAGGAGTCGTCTAAGACCATCTGGAAACACATATCCTTACAGCTATGAAGTAGCAACGAAAATAATTGTGTGGCTTGGGGGTCGCCACGACACGAGGAACTGTATTAAAGGGTTGCCGCACTATGATGGCTGAGAACCACTATATTATATCATTACAGGGTCGGCGCATAAATTTTAAAATGAGGAAATTTGAAGTTTCCTTAATTAATCACAGTCAGAAAATATTGTCGCATGAAATAAAGGGAAAAGTTTATACGGATTTTTTTGATGTCTAAAATGGATGTACTAAAATGCAATCTCGTTTTATGACGTGGTCCTAAAATCACAAATCATTTGTTGGTCAAAAAAAAATCTTAAGTGATCGTGTGAGCAAAATATCTCTTGTCATCGATTGCTCAAAACATCTTGATTCTCATTAAATCCTTTTCAATCCTATACTTTTAAAAATGTGAGGCCATTGTGTCAAATGTTTCAATCACTATTTTACATACAAAGAAAATAAATAAATAAATAACAAATATAGTTGAAACTATAAACATTTGTTGTGAGGATCAAATCATATTATGAAAAAGTGAGAAATTATTAAAATATACATAAGCATCACAATCTACACCACAAAGTTCTAAAAACAAATTATATGGATAATTTTCCTCACTTTGTTTTCCATAGAATACAAAGGATGGCAGCTGACATTGTTTTATCTCTTAGTTGGGAGAGTCATTGTTGGGTAAGGACATCTTCAGACGTTTTGGTATCATCGTCATGACACGTGGTGACCAGTTTGAGATGGACACAGAGGATGACCCAAAGACATTTGACCAGGGGTGCAAGGAACAAACAGGAGCTATCAAAGATTTATTCCAAGAATGTGACAACAGAATTGTGAGCTTCAATAACAGATCGTCCAACACTGAGACACTTATTGGGCAACGATAAAAGTTATTTAACATTGTTCCTCATGCTATTAATTACTCATTACAAGACTTTAACCAGGCCAGCAAGGATCGCCAGAAACTATTAATAGGTCATTCCTTTTTAGAAGCAGAACAACAAAACAAATATTTCCTTCAAGACATTGACCAACAATTAATTCGTGTTACGTCGACTAAAGAAACAAAGCAACGTCACAAGATGCTAACAAATATTCTGTCAGATTTACACAAACAAATGGAATCAATTCAAAAAACATTTGAAGGGTCAGAGTATTACAATTCACTTTGGACACCTTTACAGACAAGACTTCTAAACGTCAGATCTCAGCTAAAAATACTAGAAGGTGGTCGGAGTGAATATACACGAGTCGAAGAGGTTAGCAAAAGTCATAGAGAGCAGGAGACCAACAGCCAACCATATCGAAGTCTGCCTGAACCTTCACGGCAACTCTCCAATAACATTCTACCGTCAGATAATAAATCTGCTCCCATTGACGGTGCATATCAATCTCTATCACCACAAACCTTGCCAGAAGAAACTCGCTATGTCAAGGATAGAGTCTTATTGTTGGTTGGAAGAACCGGTTGTGGTAAAAGTTCAACTGCCAATTCTATCATAGGGGAACCATTATTTGCTAAAAAAGGAGAAGATTCAAGTCTACTGCAGAAATATGCCGTTGATATTGACGGCTCAAAGGTCACAGTGGTGGATGGAACAGGCATTGGAGACACTGGATCTGATATGACTGGAGGTCTACAAGAAACAATACAAAAAGCTGAGACTGCCGTCCAACTCTGTGTGTCTGGTTTCAATGCTCTCATCTATGTTATGGCTTACGGTACAAGGTTCATCCAAAAGGAGAAAGAATCTGTAGATCTGATCAAGTCATTGTTTGGTAGGGACATCTTATTTATTTATTTATTTATTTAGGCATTTTTATACAGCGCTTATCATAAAGCTCTAAGCGCTTTACAATTATTAAAACATGTAAACTAAGTAAATACAAATGAGACACTAGGATAGTAACTACTATTCTATAGAAACAATGAAAATGGCTATAAAAAGAGGATACTAAGTAAATACAAATGAGACACTAGGATAGTAACTACTATTCTATAGAAACAATGAAAATGGCTATAAAAAGAGGACACTTTGACACTTCAGGATTAAACCGAAACAGAAAATTAGGTAGGGCAACGAGGGTGCATCACAGGTCATAGGCGGACCTAAACAGATGAGTTTTAAGGGACTTTTTGAAACTGGACGAGGTTTCACTATGACATCTTCAGACGTTATGGCATGATAGTTATGTCACAAGGTGACCAGTTTGAAAAGGACATGGCAATCGATGACATCCCATTTGACCAGTGGTGCAAGGAACAAACTGGGGACATTAAGAGTCTTTTCTAAGAATGTGACTACAGACTAGCGTTGTTTGATAACAAAACGAAAGACAATCAAGTTTTGTCACGACAACGGGAAGTCCTTCTGAGGTTTGTTCAACGTGACAAAAGATATTCCTCTAAAGATTTTAATGACGCTAAAAGTGACCGGAGGGACACTCGTCTGAGGCACGAGTTTTCAGAGACGGAAAGGGAAAGTAGGCGCCTTATGGAAAAGATCTATTCCATAATTGGAAATAAGAAATCGATAGAACCATTAAATCATCTTACTGATCTAAATGATCAAGTAACAAGATTTGAATACGATGTGTTGAAAAAGTTTCAAGGTTGCAGCTATGCGCAAGGGCTGCTGAACAATTTATCTTTGAAAAAAATGGCATTGAATATGAGAATAAAAGAGATGAAAGCGGGTGTTGTTAGACATGAACGCACTGGTCCAGTGTTACTTTCAGGTAAGTCAAGTGCCCCAAAGAGCAAAATGTGTACACAATTATAAAGAAAACACAATTTTATTAAAAAGTAACTACATTGTCAATAAATTTTCATTTTTAAACAGTATAAAAAAAAAAAAATTACTGTGGCAATTAACCGATTATTATAAGTGGAACCAGTGAAATATCGCACCGCTCGCTATTATATTTGATGATTCGTATTTCAAGCTAAGGCTTATTAGAGGCTTATAGATGTCGATTATAAATATATTACTGGCCGTTCATAATTATAAACCGAAGCCTTACTTCCCAGTGTTCGCACATTTCGGTAGTTTTACTGATTTACTTTTAGCAACTGCACACGTTGAAAGCCTTTAGTTACACTGTATTAAAATACCTTTACATCAGTATAAAGGACTATCATTTTTAATCTAGTTCTTGCTGATTTTAATGTGCAACCTTTTTCAAAAATGACATTTCAATCAAGCCGTAACTTTGAAAGTAGGATAGGTGTGACTTATATATTGTATGATGGCATTAGGCTTTACAAAATATAGTGATTGGCATAATTTTTTAAAAAAATGTTCTCCATTCCGTGTGTTTTGAGCTAGATCTAAGAACATCTGAAAGGAATTGATTTAATTTTTATTCTTTAAGAATTGAAAGGGTTGATACAAACAGTGCACGTTTCAACAATGATTTTAAAATGGAAAATGTTTGTTTTCTTTCAATTCCGCTACGTTGTTACAAAGTTTCCCCAGGAATAACACAGATTTTTAAAAAAAAAAATGCTTAGCCTATATTTGTTAAACTCCCAACTGCTTTTATCTTTTTAATTTTAGAAAAATAAACAATGAACACATACATCTTTTTTGCCTAGCTGAGAATCTATAGCAGAAAGCTAAAAAAAAAAATGGAGATTTTTGTGATCTAGCATTTCGATTATGATCCCGATTGCCCCTTTTTTTTGGTAGTATTTGTTGATTAAAAAAATCGTATTCCCAAATCTTCAATTTATAATTAATTCTGTATTTGATTATTCAGTAATTGATTTGGATAAAAAAAAATAATTTAAGTTTAGTGAAGAGGCACTTTTGAACTTATCTGAAGAAAGTTTTAGTATTTTGACATTCAAATTAAAAAATTCAACCAACTGAATTATGGGAAATTTATACGGGGATTATAACCATTTGGATAAGGGGATCATGACCATTGGGATAAGAAGATTATGACCATTGGGGTAAGGGGATTATGACTATTTGGAAAAGGGGATCATGGCCATTGGAATAAGAAGATTGTGACCATAGTGATAAGGGGATTATAAACATTGGGATGAGGGGGCCAAGACCATTGGGATTAGGGGAATATAACTATTGGGATAAGGTGATCATGACCATTGGGAAAAAAGATTATTATGATCATTGGGATAAGGGGATCAATTGGAATAAGAAGATTATGTCCATTGGGAAAACGGTATCGTGACCATCGGGAATATTGGGACCATTGTGATAAGGGGATTATGACCATAGGTATAAAGGGATTATGACATAGGTATAAAGGGATTATGACATAGGTATAAAGGGATTATGACCATAGGTATAAAGGGATTATGACATAGTTATAAAGGGATTATGACATAGGTATAAAGGGATTATGAACATTGGGATACAGGGATTATGACAACACTTCGAGGAACATTCTCTGGATCATGAAGAATGACCATGTAAATAGTGCTTGCATGCAACAGATTTGGAGAGGATCACAGCTTTTTCTATAAAAATTTGATCTAATTCCGTTGTCCTAAACTATCGGCCTGCAGACCGGTATCAGTTTGTTGCCTTATAGAAACTGAGCCACATTGTAACAAAGAACGCGTAATTTTTTTGGACAAATTTGTCATCCTCAAACGCGGTTGCTCATGCCAAAAATTGAGAACCGCTGATGTAATTAGTATCACACCCTGTACAGAATTTTTCGTTGTTGTCAAAACAGTTATTTCCATGTTAAATTGAAATTATACACAACATTAAAACCTTTACTTTAATTGTCGATGTTACCATGTTAATGAAACGTGCATTGAATCCAGAAGATAAGCATTTTAAAACAAGCGAAAATTCCATCAGTTATCTTTTTTTGCCGGTCGCGAATCGTCTGCCCTCTTCAAAAAAAAGTTCTATTCGGAGGTAGACCACACAAAGAAGACCAATAAATGTGTTCGAAGTAGCGACAGTTACATTACAAATGTTGAGTCTTGACCACAAGGGTTGTGGTCATTTCGAAAAATTGTTTGGAAACACCATAAAATACACGAACTTACGTACATCTTTACTTTCTCTGACGAGATATACAAAGTTGCATATACTATTTTTCATTTTGAGCACTACTTCCTTCAAGTCAACGTCAATTTTTCGACTCCTTATATAATCCGCCCGCCAAACGACCGTGATATTGTATAATATTTAAAACCTTTTTTCCACTATTCATAATAAACGCCTGCACCTTTTACTTTTAAAATGTTCAATTAGTATAAATTATATTCAAGTCACGGAGGTCAAGCAAAGAGGTTAAAATCAGTTTATGGATAGGATAACTATTTTACTGAGGTGTAGAAGAACAAAGTACAATTTAAAAATATTAGATCAAATAAAAATGTATTTCTGTCGCTACATTTTCAAGGCCGTATTTATCATTTGTGATTTCACAAATCTTCTTGTTAGTCTCCGATTTCTTCTTCTTCTTTTCATTTAAGCTCATATCATAACTGCATTTTATACATTATTTAGACATTTCACCTTAAACATGATAATATAATAATAATAATAATGTTTGTACAGTAAAAATATATCATAACTATTGGGATAAGAGGGCCATGGCCATTCTTATATATAAATTGTTTTTCTCCTCAGATACTCTAAATGTGAAATCATCAGACCAACACGACTACGCCTTCTTACTTGTTGGAAGGTCAGGAAACGGGAAAAGCTCTACAGGAAACTCAATCTTTGGGAAGAGAGTGTTTATTACAAGAAAACCGCAAGATTCTTCTGGTGGTGACGTCATTTGTTACCACTCGGCTCTAGTAGATGAAAGATCAGTGCTTATTGTGGATGGATCGGGCATAGGTGACACCTATGACGACAGCAATGGGGGTGCCAATGATTTGTTAGAATCTTTTGATTTTACAATGAGAAATGAGATGTCAAAATTCAACGCTATTGTTTTGGTCCATTACATTCACGAAAGGTCCCACGTAAAGATGAAAAGCTCTGTTCTTGCTATAAAATCAGTTTTAGGACCAAATGTCTTAAAAAACTGGGGTATTATAGTAGTTACCTTTGGTGACCAATTTGACGTCAATAACCTCGGTGAGAATATCCATTCATTTGAAGATTGGTGTCAACAACAAACTGGATATTTCCAGATTTTATTTGAAGAGTGTAACAACAGATGTGTCCTGTTTGACAACAAAACAGCGGACGAAAACAAACTAAAGGAACAAAGGCAGAAACTCATGTCAGCTGTTGACAGCATGACTTGCAGGAAATACACGAGAGATGACTTTGACCGTCCTACTGTAAGCCTTCCAGACGACAGCTTAGGCTGATTGAAGAAGTCAATCGTACATTGGATTCGTTTGATGTTAACATGTAGACAGATCACGACCAATCTGAAGTTAAAATCTTGATTACAAAAACCGGTGGAACATAAACAACACCTGGCTGAACAAGGGAAAAAAACTGAGTTTAGCAAACAAATTTTCTAAATCAAGTTACAGAAGCTGCAACAAAGTTACAATTTAAAATTGAGGATTGTTTGATGGAATATGAAAAAAAAAATTACACCAAAAAAATAGTTAATAGTCTTTATTTGATAACTGAAGAGAAGAGCCTACGTCTTCCCAATGACAGCTACCAGTGGCAGAGCCTGAGAGCGAGCTAACCACTTCAAAACTAACAACTTCCATTTTTCAGGATGCAACAAAATTTATTACGAACGATCCGCTCGAAAGACAGGATGTAAACGTTCCGATTTCAAATGTTCCACATTCCCCCCCCCCAGCACAACGTGATCAATTAAAGTCAAGCCAAAACTTTGGCCTCTAAATAGCTGCTTTATTTTTTTTAGGAAGTTTACATATTTTTTTCATATAATTTTTAATAAAAAAAAAAA